GCGATAGCATACACTGGTTGAGAACGTCTTTAATAATAATAAAATATAATACTGTCGTAACTATGGGCTATAATAATAAAAATATGCGCTACTATCGTAACTATGGACTATAATAATAAAAACGACAGATTTTGCTGATTAATTAGGGATTAAATTCTAATTATAACAATTTCTAATTAGTGAAACTAGTTTTTTATTAGTGATGTGAGTAGTGGTGAACATAGGGAATCGATCTGTACAAAAATTTTATCTAATTAGTGCATCGAAGTGTTAGTTTTTTCATGTTTTGTGTCTGTAATGGGGAGGGGGGGGGGGTGGGGTACAGGGGCGCCGCAAAAATCTCACAATTAAACTTACACTCACTATTTTCTTCGAAAATATATGTGAGTTCCACAAAATCAGGCTCTAAATAAGTGACTCTTTAGGGATAGATATTCCGAGATATTCAGTGAGTTTAAAATGTTACAAGAGAATGTTTATATTCATTCTTTTAAACAAACGTCCAATCTTTCTCGAGAATAAATAGTTGAAAATGAAATATCAATTTTTTTTACTTTTTTGAACTCATTATGACTGACCTATATCGTTCGAGTCTAAAGGAAAATGCGATAGTTCTTCAACAGTATGGTTCTTAAATCTAAGAACAATCTCAAAATCAAAAACACACTTGAATTCATTACTGGTATATTCGAAGGTGAAAGCAAAATACCATCTTCATTTTTAACGCTAGTTTTGTTCAGAACAGCTCACATCCTCGTAACTGATAATATAGTACGTTTTATTAAAAAATAAAATGTACTTCAAGATGTAGCTTGAAAATTTCTGCAATTTATAAAGCGCCGCTTATTTTAAAGTTGTACTTTTTTCAAAATGAACAAAACTCTGAGCGACCAAATTTCGACGTTGCTAAAAACGAGATTGCTTTTTGGTAAAAGACGAATTCGGTTTTTTCTATCTCATCTATTCATGATTGTTCTTTATAAATGGTAGAGCTTTGCCCGCTACATCTGTGATATATGTTGTTTTGGTAATACAACGTATTAAGTGGTAATAACTTGGAATGCAAAAGTTTCACACCCGTAATGATCTAATGCTGCCAGCTAATGTTCAACAACAACAGTTCTTATCGAAATTTTTTTATTATGATATTGTAGTTGAATAGTGATCATATAACATATAAGAATAGAGCGAAGGACACGGTACCTGTTGCTTAAAAAGAAACGGAAATTTTTTCAAGTTGTCTATAAGAAAAAAAGTAACCCGTCACTACTTTTCGATAACCCTAAGTATTAAATTGCTTTTCATCATATACAAATATCGGAAGTCTAATATTTCAATTAAACTGAATCAATCAGTAATATGAATAAATGTCCTAATATAATTGGAGTTGATAATGATTTTCAAAGTTCAAATGATCTCTTTTTTTCATTCTATGAAAACAAATGTCATAACTACCGACGACCCCTCCCCCTCCCCCCTGGCACGTATCCGTAATCTTATCAATTCACTTCAGAGGAATTAATAGGTGTCATTAACACTCTCATTTTTATTATGAGGTGATAACTAACACGTGTCCTATGTCAATCAAATCAAATTATTTCAAGCTAACTAATGATATACATCAACTTGAGCTCGCCAGTTCATGCTTAAATCCAGTAACTATTTTCGATATTCTTGCCATTCGTGATAGTATTGGTAACTGTTTTTAATATACTGATTTTTGTTTATAGTAATCATACTGGCCAATACCGGAATTGTAACAAGCCCGGTAAAGTATTCCTTACCGACCTGGTCTGAGTTTTTTGAATTTCTTCGTATTTTGTCCGAACAAGAAAAGATCAAAATAGTGTTTTTTTTTCGAAAACCAGAAACCTTCTACTAATACCAAAGACCATTTTGGTAAAATAGTTTAAATCAAACTATCCTATTAACTCAAAATTTGTCCAGGAGTGTTTTTTATTTTTGCCTAATCCACTTGAGTATGACGCGCTGTTATTCAAACAAAATCGAATAATTGTTTAGCATTGCAGTTTATCATAGATTCATTTGTATTTGCTATCATTTATTGCATATATGAAAGATGACAAAGCAAGTATAGTATCGAAGGTAGATTAAGTGTACAAGTGTAGCAAAATTATTTGCAGCAGCAACTACCAAAGTTAAATATGCTGAGTATTTTGTATACGATGGAAATAATTGATGACGAAATATCATTTCACTTGGCACACAATAAAGATAATGCCATTGAAGGAATGTTGTCTATGCAAATATACCAGTTAATGTTACAGTAAAAACAACAGCTGTAGAAGAAGATGTTACTGTAACTTCTTGCAATTTAGGATGAACAGATTTGAATGGAAATGTTGTAAATAGTTGCCATAATTTGTAAGGTTTATGTTTTAATCCTACTTGATGAGGTCATTTTGGTGGTTTGAAATATTCTAAATCAAGCTGAGTAGCATAATAAGGATTTGTCATATTCGTATAAATCTGTTGTATAGAATCGTTCCATGCAAAAAAAACACGTGATAAGACTATAGCTTCCACATGCATATCCAAAAGGAGCAAACCATGGTTGGACACCAACATACTATACTAATGACCATCCAACAAACGATAAACCGAGAGTAACACCAACACCAAATTCTCGTATCGTTGGAATATCAAAACTTGGATTTCGTTGAGGAATAAGAAGAGCACCAAATACACAATTTAAAATAACTACTAAAACAACTGTAAGATAAAGATATCGTGGTGGATATTCATTTGTCCATGAATTATATATTATCAATCCCATAGGTAATAGAAGTGAAAGAATACCACATAAACGATGAGTGATAGATGTAATTGTTTTCCAACTTCCAATACGAGTTAATAGAAGTGGCCAGATCAATAGGATCAAATAGGGTGCTAATGTAAGAGAGAAGAATATTGTCCAAGATTCAATCCATGAGAATAAAGCCATAAATGTGAAGCATAATATACCAAGTCCAATAAGCCATACATTGAATGCGCCTATTGTATGATATGACTTGTGAAATATACGCGTAAGAGATGAAAGTTTCGATGCTTCATCATTACATCCTATTCCACAATGTTGAACATTCCGGAACCAGTCCCGCTTACGGAACCAATTCCATCTAATTCCGGCGATTCCGCTGATCACTTCCAACACAATTCCAGAATTCAGTGCACCCACACTCACACAAGGATATGGGTGCGAGTGCGATAGTACAGATGCGATGTTCTAATGAATAGTTCAACCACGCCCACACCCTCGCGATAAGAACTCTTAGTGTCAAGGTTGTCCTGATGCATTGGAGCCATTCGTGCATGTCAAATCCTCCTATTTTCCTCGTGGCTTTTTAGGTTTGGCAATTTATGATGCAGATCACGCTTATTATGAGTCTAACGTAATATACAAATGAAAATGGCAAAGATAAAAATAGTATTTAGCCATGTGTTGAAATGTCTGACTTTTTTTGTGAATTTAGTGTTTCGATTGCCTCGGCTTTAAAAGTGTGCGTAAGAAATCCATTAATGGATTCTTCTCAATCATAAATCATGGACTGAGTCTTTCGCATCAGTTTGCAGGTTAGGTAGTGAATAACAAAATATAGCGAATATGCATATCCATGCGACATCACTGTAAAACTAATTGACAATCAGCGAATCAACAAGAAGGAGCGATAAAGAAAGAGATGGTGTTGTTTTCAATGCTGCATAGCCATTCGTTCTTTTTTTCTTTCCTACATTGGTTTGTATAAGATCAGTCGACATGTGACACTTTTTTGCATTTTCCTACATAGTGTTCGATTAAATGCTCATTTGCTTTCTGAAAGAATGTAGCGAATTTAAAGTAAAAAGCTGAATTTCATTTGAATAAGCAGCTCGAAACAACTATTTTTTTATTAGTAGATCACTGACGATTTTTGTTATTTACACAATCTCACAATTGAATGAGTTCTTTTTCGGATTGATATTATGACAAGGTTTGAAGATTTATCAAATGAATTACTTTTTAATATATTCGAGCACTTTGATGCCTATCAACTTCACTTTACTTTCGGACAATTAAACAGTCGTTTCAATTCGTTACTTGCAAATGCTCGCGTCCATTTTGATCTTGATCCAATTCCATTAAATGAATTTGCATTCTTTGCTCTTTCACTTAATGCGAACCATATTCTATCTTTTAATTCACGAACTTTAGAAAAGACACGTTCGTGGCTTTTTGACAACAATGAAGTCTTACAACAATTTTCTAAAATTCGTGCACTTACCTTGTTCAATGTTTCTTATGGAATTATCAACCGATTACACGAACGTCTTCCCAGTTTGAAGGGTGTACTTATTTACGTTAAAATTGCTGGTACGTAGGTATTTATAAGTATCTCTCTGCAACAATGAAAAAATATCATTAGAATGCTAAAATTCAGTCTAGTTTTTGTCATGAAATTGATTCCATCATCATTTTTTTAAATATTATATTAAATCTATTGTATATGAATCGATGTAGACGCCGCAAAAGCAACCGAAAATGCTCATCAAGATGAATATATTTACTTCAAACATTGGTGTCCAACTCATGAGTTTTGTTCGAATAAATTTCCGTTTCTTCGTTATTTAATTACGGACACAGATTACAATCATCAAGCGTTTGGCTGTTTAACTCCGACAATATCAGCAATCACATATTTTAAAATAGGCTACATTTATTCTATCATTTGGCTTCTTCATCTCTTCCGATACTCACCTCAATTAAAAATATTGCATGTAGAAGAGTTTGGTGGTGTATTAGATGATGATGATTATCGAAATCGTATTCCAACCAAAAAGCCAATCATATTTCCATGTGCTCTCAATTTGCATATTCTTGTTCTTAAAATTTGTTATTTTGAACCAATCGCTATTGAATATATTTTTCGTGCATGTCCACACTTAAAACAATTCGATTTGAATTCTGCATTGGATTACTATACCCATAATGATGCGATTCGACAACAAATCCATGACCGCATGTTTTGGCAATCAATGATACATCAATGGGGGCAAAATTTAATCAGGCTAAATATAACTATTAAAGTTAACGATGATTCTATAGATGAAGATCTCACTACTGAATTTTGGCGACTTAGATTCTGGCATGTGAGAACTTCACACTCACCACCTTATTTCATAATTGAAACGGATGAAAAGGTTCTTGGGAGCTCTTTGTTACGTAAAATATAAATGTTAAAGAAATGTTTTGTTTTTTTCAAAATCGCGGATTTTACGTCTTGTTAATAGACAAACTTTGTTTTCATATCACTAAAGTACCATGCAGTTGATCTTTTTATTTAAACTATTTTGAGGGTGTTAATGGGAATGAATTTATCGATTATCACTTCAACGCCACTCTCACATCTGTCATTCCCACGGTTTGTATTCTGTACGATCATTTTTCAATCTAATATTCTTGACTAAACCAACTTTACGATTTCATCATCGCTTCAGTCAAGCCGAAATCGTTCTACTTTATACTCTTCAAGAGACATCTTAATATGCAAATCCAGCAAGCTTTGAAGAGCTTGAAAATAGAACATGCTACGATTACGACAATCCAATCTTGTTTTAGAGCAAACGATATATTTTTCGGTCAAATGAGAGGCATCAAAATCCGTCGGATACCAACCAAATAGAGTCAAGTGAAGGCTCAGAGGATTTCATCAAGTAGTGAAACTTTTGTTGACTGGGATCACTCTTAAGTAGAATTTCAATACTTTGTAGTCGTTTATCTTTGTCATCAACATCGATTTTGAGACTATGAGATATCCAATCAACAGTTTACATGAAGTACCGAACTTTTTTCCTATATTCATCCCTCTTGATGGTCTATCATTTGATAAAATACTTTCATTCTCTGATAACACCCAACTAGTTCGGCACCACTAACCACACCTACATCCACACCCTCCCAGTGAAATACTACATAATAGAGAACGATATATACCCATAATTAATTGTTTGGAGCACATCTCAAGTCTGTTGAATTTGAAATTCTAGTTAAATATTTGTCGCAAATCAAGTTTATTCAAATAAATAGAAATCAAGGAATAAAATGAATATATAAATGTTAATTATTTCGAAAAAATCGACGTAATGAATATGAGTCAGATGGGAAAATAAATTTCATCATTATGCTTTAGTTATTTTGGTACGACGATGATCTGTATCATGTAAACCTGTGAATTCACACCTTTCACATAGATTAATTCCACTAGTACATTTGTAACGGACGCCAATAATTGGCTTCGTCAAACATGAATTACATTGACTATTCTTGTGAATGATCTTACTGCGATTATGCATGCAAACTGACTCTGAATATTCGTCTGAATTTTTAATACATAATAATGGATGATTGTATTGATGATTCGGATCATGAGTTGTTCTACTGACCGATTGGCATGATTGACAAAAATCAACATCAGGACAAAATAAACATTTATAACGATCTCCTTTGATTGGTGACATTTCACATCCATCGCAAGTAACATGCGAATGAATATTCGTGTTCGAATTTTGATTATTCATTATTTTATTGTCTGATTTTGGTTTGATATTATCGTTAAACTCCACTTTGCATACATCGATCATTTCTTGATTACTACTCAATCTTAATGTAACAATTTCTTTTTGTTGATTCGATTGTCCATAATATTTATAGACATGTACCATAATTGTGGTTGCACCAGTAAGACTCTGCTGATGATTAGCAAAATATTTTGCTCGAACTGTATATGTACCATTGATTGCTTTTCGAACTAAATACTCTTCTGGCCCGTAGCCAGTTGTAAAATCGCGACTTATCATACCGCCAATAGCTGTATGTTTATGTCCGTAATAGCATTCTTCACCTGTCGGTTCAATGACATGCAAATCAACATCGGTATCATTCGTATCCCAAACCATAACTATTTTTAAGTCGACCGGCAAATGACGAATTAGGCGATTATCAATCGAATTCAATATTTTTTGTTTTTGTGGATAAAATTGAAATGCAAAACAATTCAATTCATGCAATGTTGTGACTTCAATTTCAGCATAACGATTGTCCCATTCGCCAAATAGAACTTTTTTAAATAGGTCTGATATTTCTAGAAGATTCTTTGTTTCCGAATTCGATTCTTGTAATAATAATGCTAGATCGCGAAAGGATTGTGGCTCATCCGATCTCAAATTTACGATACGCCGATAAATATTCTCAGCTAAATTATGACGTCCAAGTTCAACAAGCTTATAAGCGACAGTTCGTAACAATTGTGATGATTCCAATTCTAATTCTAATACACTTGTTAGAATACGTAAACCAAAATATTCATATTCATTTGAATTAGCATTAGTACTAGGAGTTTCATTTGAAATACCGCTGTGAGACATCGAATGGATCTGATTAAATTTATCAATTGATGATTGCTGCGGATTTGAAGAACGAGCTTGTAAGAAAAAGTAAGATGCTATGTCAAAATAAAATGACGGTGATTTAGAATACGATTGACGTTCATTCAAATAAATTTGATAAGCTGTTTGTATACTATTACTTGATTTAATTTTGTCCATATAAGGTGTTTGCGGATCCCAGTTTTGTAGAGTAATTGTTTGTGAACTACTAGTAGGATTACTATTAGTAGTAGTAGCAAGTCTATCAACAAGGGATCGTTGGTTTGAAATCTGGGATTCTTCATTAATCGAAGAGCTCATGGAAACATGCATTTCTTCCTCATCATCATCAGACATATTTACTGAGGCACCTGGTTTGCTGAGTGACTGCATATATGATCTTTGTGGTGAAGAAGATCTTTCATAACACATGTCATAGTTCATCGATTGTAAGTGGCGAGTTCGGCTCGCGCTACACGCCATTACTTGAGGTCTTCTTGCATAAGAATTATTGTCAATAGCAGAACGTACTGGCATACGCTGGTATAGCATACTATTTCTAGGTGATGAATCATCTTCACTAGAGCTGCTCATTTCCAGCGCCTTTTTACGATCTTTATCTGTTATTTCTTTATCATACCATGTACACCGTGTTTGCCATAAGTGTAAAACAGCATTTAGTTTTGTTTGGGTTTTTGTCGATTCTTGCTGTTTTTTATTATTCTGATAGGCCATATAATCATTATATAATTTTGTACGTGATTGATGTGGACATATCTGATGTTGAATATGTTGTTGTAATGTTTCTAGAACAAGTATGGATGTAAAATCACTCACAATCGAATATTTTAAGCCAATATCTAGAATACGCTTTTTATTCTTTTCTGGAAATGCAGTTAGTTCAGTTAGCATTTGTTTGGCATACAATCGTCGTAGTAATCCATAATTTTCAGATTTTGGATCTACTTTATTGATCTTCAATTCTTTGCGATGCAGTTGATTCGAAATAAGAAAATTGACAGCAATATTTGCAGTAGTTGACGAAGACATTTTCCCAACAAGTATAAATCGTTCTGTGTTTGGTGCTAAAGTAATTGAATGGCTCGGATAAATATCATGAACATCAGTATCATTGATCGTATTCGTATTGAAATATCTTGTTTGTGGCCTATCAATCCATTGAACGATATCAATAGCATTATTTTGAGCCATGATTTTCTCACGCGAAATGTAGCCACCACTGCTAAGATTAGTTAAATAATTAATCAGCGGAAAATTACTTGGTTCATGTGTAGCATTAGCGTTAAATATCCATATTGGTTTTGTTGTCAAATTATTGAAAAAGGCTGGTTCATCGTTGCCGATTGTTGAAAGACAGTCACTAAATAAAAAATAATGTGTTACATTCGGAATCGTAGTTGAAAGTGTAGCCAGTTGAAATAGATTTGTTGCACCATCATATGAAACATTAGTTAAAAATTGATTAATTTTAGACCAATAATCCTGTACTTGTAGGTTAAATGAACGCGGTTCTTCAAGTTCATTTCGAAAAACAACTACAGTCAAATTGATATTAATACCATTCGATTCCCAAGTATTCAATATCTTCTTGAGCATTTGAATTTCATGATTACGATTTTCCAGATTAGCTCGACTTAAACTTGCATCCCAAAGTATACAGATGGACATTGTCTTCTGATTATTAGGTACTGTACTACTAGATTGAGATAATGGTGGTATATAGCTAAGAGCAAAGTAGGCTTGACTACGATCATCAGGATCGATCTCTACGCTATGAATAGGTTGTCCAGGTGTTAGGTTTTTTAGTTTGTACGTAATACACTGTTCATCTTTCATCGGTTGAACATTGGTTTGGTGAATTTCGGAACAATATCTTCCATTTGAATTCACAAAAGGTTGTTGAAATTTAACGTTCGAAACAAATTTTGGTTGATCATCGTTTGATGCATGTATACAAACCAATGACATATCCAAATTTTCGAGAATAGTATTAAAATCGATAGGAATATGAAACAGAAAACAATCGTTTTCCATTTGTGCTTGATCTTGATAAATGACACGCACGATTCGTATGCCTCCAGGTGGCATTGGATAAACTCTTGTGCGAAATATATTTCCTTTAACCATCTCGACTAGACCAGGATCAACACCTTTTCGAACTTCCTTTTCAAATGTAACACGAGCTTTTTCTTTTTCAACGACAACACCATCGACAATGGCACCATCAACATCGAGACCTATGAAAACGAAAATATCAATATCTTTATTTTTGTTGACTCGTATTTCTAAGAAACTCTTCACACACCAAAACCGCATATTGTTGCTGTCGCCGGTAGAGTAAATTCCAAAGCTCCTTCTAATACTCGATTATGATCATTTTTAAATGTCATCGTTGTTGCCACTTGATGTATGAGCGGAAATGATGCATTTACTTGTTGTTCAACTTTCAATTTGATCATTTTCAATGGCGTAGAAGCAGCATCACCAAATTTTATTTGTCGACCAAAATATAGTGGAAAAGACGTACGACTATTGTCATAGTTGGAACGTAAAGCCATACTGAGTACTTGACGTAGTTTTATACAAATACGAGAAATTAAGTATTATACTAGAAAGAAAATTATATGGACATATATTTCTTAGATGGAATAGCACTCTCAATTTTATGTTAATGTTTTCCCCGCATATACGTCTTCGATTATCAAATAATGGAATGAGAACAAAAATCTTCTTTTAGATTAACGTACGTGCTGATCTATCTATCTATCTATCTGCCAATCTCTTAGAATAAGAAAGTGAAGTGAGGTATTTTTAAATTTTCTAACAAATCAATTTCGGCACTTACCAAAACTCACGATTATGATGCTTGAACATATCGATGTAATACTATATCAAGAAGCAGATTCTATACTTAGATGATGCGAAACAATGAGTATGGGTAAGTGTCGTGCTTTCGACCCACACCCAAGATGACGCAAATGAATTCCATGATCACTCTTCTCATCGAATTTGTTTGTACAGAATAATGATGTAAAGGGCCTAACATGTGTTGTGAGGGTCTGCCAACAGACTGTGACTGTGTACTCAATTCCACATGACTTATCATGGCCTTCGCGACTACCAAAGCGCTTCTCAAGGAATGGCAAAATAACTAGACTCTAAATCTCACTGGAATGCAACATCGCACGACAATAGAATCTTGATGCCACTGAAGCCGAACGACATATAATACGAGAACCTTGATGTCGATGAAATATGATCCACATCTATGCTCACACTAGATCGGAGTGTGGGTATGGATATCGATATCGATATCGTTAAGGGAGATTACCGACACCCACACCCGTCTACTTTCGCGGAAGCTCAAACACTGCTACAATTATCAGTGAAATTCTTACAAGAGAATCGCTAAATTTTCTAATGTTCAGTGGGAAATTGATCTCATTTATAGCTGTGCTATTTTGGGACTGTTACAAAAACAAAACTCATAGCACGAAATTATGCATGTTTCATAAAAAAAAAGAGGAATATTAGAAATACACAGACGGAAGAGACTAAGAAAAAAATGAAACCGCGCATATTTCACCTGTCTATAATACCTCAATTTTAACCGACTGTAAAATGACTCGTGCACATACCAACTTGCTCCAGAAGAGAAAAATATATAATTGCACAATCACATAACAGCGCAAATAGAACGGAAAAATCATAGGATAGGATTGGTGACGACGTGTCCAACCAGTTTTAGAAGCCTCGTATCTCATCTCATCTATAAAATTAATTATAATGCAGATTATAATTCGACTCTAGCAACTCATGATATAATGATTTCACTTCCAAGTCACTTCAACACCGCGAGGTTCGACAGTCAATAAATATAGTAAAGATCGTATTTCACTTTTACGATAATCAACATACATAGATTTGTACATACCATGATAATAGCAAATATTTAACAATAATTTTCATTCTGTAATCAATCCCCTTCTCATCCTATCCTACCGGCTAGTGGAGATGTTTTTCTTTTATGACGTTGCCATCGGTATGAAAACGAAATTATTTGAAAATAAAAATTGACTGATTTATAGATCACTAAATACTCCATCGGTTGAAATCAATACTGGGAAATTAAACAACTAGAAATATGGTTCAAAGATGAAACATAATAGCAAGCGTCATTTTTCTAAGCTAGCAGGTCAATTTTTGTGTGGTTTGTAATCAAGCGACATCTAATAGAATTTTCAACTGGCTATTTTAATTTTGCCTAACTTTATACGTGTCTGTCCGATGAGATAGATTGCAGTTACCAGTAAAGTAAAATAAAATTATAATATGATATAGACACTTGTTGATCTTTGGTTTTAATAGAATTATTAAATTTACACGTTTTCGTTTAAAATCAACTTTATTGAAAGTTCAACTCGCATTAATCTCGTGGATAAGAGTAGGGGTGTTACTTTATATTTACTTTACTTTTTAAAGATAAATAAAACTTTTATATTTAAAACATAAAGATAAATAAAATATTTATATTTATAAAATAAAGAAAAAGAAAAAGTACCTTTATCTTTATTTAATAACGACAAAATAAAGAATAAAGAAAAATATTTTCCCTTAAAAACCCAAAATTTGGTCTTCTCCCGATAGCTCGAAGAAAATTAAGAAGTTCAAGACTAAAAAATTTTGAACACTAGATTTTTTTCCATAAATGATTTATGCCTCACCATCATTTGCTAGTATTATTTCATACTGCAATGTCAGTGATGATAAGCAAGAACTGCAATCAATGTTTTCTGTTGTTATACAAATTATTCATCTATTTACCAGTGACTGCAGAAAATCTTTCTTTTTTCTTTATTTTAACTTCATTTTTACAAATAAAGATTATCTTTATCTTTATTTTATAAATATAAAGATCAATAAAGATAAAGTAACACCCCTAAATAGGAGCGATTTCAACCGATCTTCAACATCGAAAATAAAAACATTTTGATGGTAAATGCAGCGTAGTGGTAAAACATCTTCGAGTAAAAATAAATATTAAAAATAAAAATAAAAATAACTCGAATTTCTGTTAGTTTCTTCAATTAAGACCAACTTGTATTGATACAGTGAATCCTCGTCACCCATCGTTAGAACAGTCTTGCGAGAATTTTTACATTATATATTTTTTTGAAAACAGAAGTAAATCGTCATAGATGAATATTGATCTATCTGCATAAATGTACCGTACAAAAAATCCTACCGAACGATTCATACATTGGCGCGATAAGTTTTTTCTTTTAATTTTTTTTCTTTTACATCATTTCCGATTATCATGAATTAAAATAGAACGACATGTGTGAACGATCACCATTATTTCTTGTTGAAGCCAAATTGATTACATTAGATCTTTTAAAACGTTCTTTAGAATTATTCGATATATGTTTTCATTTAGTTTTACATTATCGTCTTGATGAATTTTTTCTAGAACGTGAACAAAAACGTGATTATGATTATTTTTCTTTGTATAAACCATGTAAATTAAATTATAATATTATTTCTGATATTGATACGTATCTTCATCGTTTATCTACATCGTGTCGTTTAACCAAAAGTAATTTACGTTCATTACATGCTTCACGAATGATATCATCCAATGATTATATAGTTATTGATGATGAAATCTATGAATTAGTTAATATTTTTCAAGTAAAAATAAATCAACAATTTCAATCAAAACAAAAGGACGAAAATTATGATTCTAAACATAATGAAGAATATCATCATGCGTTAACATTATTTCGAAAGATTTCGCAATTCTATCAATTAATTATTAAGGAATTGTACGGTGTTCATACGGTACGAAATTCTCACATTCTTCAGCCAATTGCGATCAATATTATTCGATTACTTTTGTCTATTGCAAATAAATTAAAACGATTTATCAAAACTAATTCACCGAATCTAATTAATTTCAATCATTTTCGTATACAACCACATGATGAAGTTTGTAGTGTCGACCAGTCGAAAAATTTTGGAAAAACAAAATCAAAATTCAGATTAATTGAAATTCATCCGAATAATTCTGAAACTTCAGCAAAATAAAAATCTGAAAATCTAAACGATAAATATGTTCGAAATGATGATAATCATTCATCAAATCGAATCCAAGAAGATCAAACGCATTCATTAGATTTTGATGAAGATAATCAAGATATAGAGAAATTTGATTGAAAGTAGAACGATTTCGCATAATTTTTATTCGAGTATAACAGTCTTAGTCATGTCTTGAGATTGATCATTCGAGAAAAAAATCATCTTCAGATTTCAATGATAAAAAATAAATATTTGAATAAATGCTTCTTTTGTTTGTAGATGCTATTTATTATTTTTATAGTAATCATTAGCATATCCTTCAGCGAATGTCAAACAACAACTGATAATGTTCCAACTCAACAACATGATTTTCAAGCTTGTATCCTTTTTGTTTTGTTACTCGAATTTTATTTTCTTATAAGCGGGAGATTTTTTTCGCTATTTAGTTTCTTAGCTTATTTTATACAGAAGATATATATACAGAGAGAGAATGTCTAGTCCTAATAATGAAATTCATTTCATACCATTTCTTAATCAAAAGTATGAAGATATTCAACATGAATGCTTAGCAAGACAAAGTTTATTTACCGATACAAAATTTTCTCAACAAGAAGTATTTCCGATTGGTAATGAAACGAAGAAAAATATTATTTGGCGACGCCCATATGATGTAACTGATGCACCGAAATTTTTTATTAATACACCTCATCGTCGTGATCCAGGTCAAGGTGAATTATCAGATTGTTGGTTTATCGTAGCTGTTGCTAATATAACACTTCATCAACAAATATTCGAGCGCGTTGTACCGTTGAATCAAACATTCGATAGACAAAATGGTTATACAGGTTTATTTCATTTTCGTTTTTGGCAATATGGTTCATGGTATGATGTTGTTATCGATGATTATTTACCATTTAATACGAAAACCATTCAGCCATGGTGCTCATGGAATCGTCAAGAACCCAATGAATTTTGGGTTGCACTCATAGAGAAAGCTTATGCAAAATTAAATGGTGGTTATAGAAATCTAATAGGAGGTGCACCTATAGAAGCATTTACAGATTTAACAGCTGGTGTAGAACAACGTTTTAAATTAAATGAATCGATTAAAGAGCGTAGTCAATTTTTTAATTTTCTTATTGATAGTTTAAAACATTCATGTCTTATGGCGTGTTCAATTAATCCAAAAATTGATGGATCTGATTTCGAAGAAATAAAACCCAATGGCCTAGTTGTTGGTCATTCATATTCCATAACGGCTGCAAGATATCTTCAATTCAAAAATCAATTATTATCCATGATACGTTTACGTAATCCATGGGCCAATGAAATTGAATGGGCTGGTGCGTGGCATGATAGAGATAACAGGTGGAATTCTCTTGATTTAAATGAAAAAAAACGAATGTCATGGCAAGACTCCGAAGATGGAGAAGTAGAAATTCTCTTCTTTTCGTATCGTGAAACTAAATCCACTAGACTTATTCTGTTTAATTTTATAGTTTTGGATGACATTTCAAGATTTTTTTGTTGAATTTGATATTCTTGAAATTTGTCATCTCTCGCCGGATACATTCAAAGAAGAACTTCATCTTAATACGAGTATTCATAAGATATCATCGCCTACAACTCATGAGCCACTAACAACATCTGTAATCAAAGATCATCGAACATCAATACGCATGTCAGTACCAGCATGTTTAGTCGCCGATTGTCTGCCTGATCAACGTAGAATTTGGTCATGTTTATTATTCGAAGGAGAATGGGTTAGAAATTTCTCGAGTGGTGGTCGTTGTATCACAACATGTGAACATGGTTGTAATTTTTGGAAAAATCCACAATATGAAATTGAAACAAGTGCAGAAAACGAAACAGTTAAATGTGGTATAATTATATCATTGATGCAAAAATATAATCGATTAAAATCCATAGATAATCCTATTGATCGATATGATTATATTCAAGTAATGGAACAATTAACATATAAATATAAATACTTAGTTTTCTCAGGCTCGAATTTATAAAATAAAAGCCAATGCATCAACATCAATATCATCGCCTTCACGATCGCATGTTCGCCATATGAACACAAAAGCATATGGAAACGATGATTTAGAATATGTTGGTTATACAGGTTCATATATCAATCGGCGAGAAGTTACTCTCTATTTACGTGTATCACCCGGCAAATATCTTGTTATTCCGAGTATCTATGAGGTAGTTGTTAAATTATTTACAGTACAAATCTTTTCTGCACACTTATCTTTCATCGAACAGCCAAATCGAGATGGCCATTTCCTATTACGAATATTCCTAGAAGCTAATTATTCAAATAGGCGATTATCAAATGCATTTCCTTCACCAGAACCTGCCAATGAACAATTAACTCAATCAACTATTTCTACTCCAGAGACGGCATCACCAAAATTAGCTTCAATTAAAAATAATTTCTTCAATTGTCTATGTCCATACGATTGTTTGTCATTGAATAGAAACGATAAACTTACTGCTAGATCTCTAAAATTCTCTAAAAGTTATAAGCAGAATAGCGAAATACATATTTTTCATTCTAGCTAGTTAATTTTCCTTAACCTTATTTTTATCTCTTATTTAAAAACAAAATAGATCAAGCAATGTTCAGAACTAAACGTAAAGAACATCATCATATTATTCAAACATTAGGCCAAATGCAAACAGATGTTAAACGATATAAAGCTGTACAAATGCTAATGGATCAAATATTTCAAGTACACATTTTAACATGAGAAAAGTTTGTTAGTGAAATTTGTTTTTCTTTAGGTATTAAATTCAAGTAGGCTGGCTTTAACAAGTGCTGGATTTGTTCCATCGGTTTCTCCTTTTCCAACGGAAGAAACAGTTCGTGAACGTACGTAGAATTGATTTTGACATAAATTATTTAAGTTGGTAAAACATACTACACATTTTGCGAGTTATAAATCAGAACTTTAAATAGAATACTCAGACGACTAGTGAATTTTCTTTGTTGTAGATTGCAATTAGAAATATTTCAAACAGGTAGCCATGCAAATAACATAACGGGTGGCGCAAAAATCTCAGAGTTATCGACTTCTTTCACAAACGTTGATCACAATTTTTATGTGTTTGCGTTTTTTCATTACTCTTCTGGAAACCTCTCTCTCTCTCTCGGAGTAGAATTTAGTTTTTCGACTGCTATAGGCAGCGATGGAAATTTCGTGATATCAGACATTACACTAAAACCTGTTCATTTTTTTGTACACCAATAGTGTTCGTCCTTGACATTAACGAGGTCGTAATTGGCGAATTTAAGACGTTTTCATAACTTTCAGCGAATGAATATTTTCGTTTAGAATTATCATTACTTCTTGAAAATGTACTATTTATTGGTGATCTTGCGCTTTTCTTTCCTGATGTATTTCATCGTTTTTACGATAAAGATCAACAACGTCGAATTCTAACATCATGGTCTTATTCATTTGCTGTTGAAACAGAATTTTATGATGAAAAATCGCTAGAAATTTTATCGTTGGTAAATTAAGAATTGCCGATTGACAACACCACAATCAATTTCACTTTATTACTTTTTTTTATAGATGGCCCAAGAACTGAATTTAATAGAAAAATCTGCCACGTTTCATAATCCCTATGTTTTCAATGAAAAAGATAAACAAGTAAAATATTATCGCTATTCAATAGATTTCTATTTACTTCTTTTCAGAAGAAAAACATTGTACCCGTTGAAAAGCAACAAGAACAAGTGCAAAAAAAGAAATCTAAAGAAAAAATCAAGAAGAAACGAGGTAGAACAAAAATTAGTTTCTATTTCTTTCTTTTCCCCTCATTGATTAATTATTAATTTTAGGACCTGGTTTGTCCGGCAGTCGTACTGATCTGTGATGATAAATTTTCTTTCAAACTTGTTAGATTGTTGATTTATTTGTTATTTCTTCTTCTTACATTTCATAAGACAGACCTACAACCATTTCTCTTCTTTTAATCATTTGTGGCAACTTGTTTAGTTGAATATAGACATTCTGAATAAAATCAACGTTTTTTTTAATGGAAGTTATGCATCCGATAAAGGAAGTTCGTCCATAATAAATGGCTTTTTTTTCAATGCTTTAATAGAAATAAAAAGAGATTACTTCAAGTAATAACGGAGACTTCATTTCCTGTCTTCATATGCAGAGACACATCTGCTGCTAGATATGCTTGTTTAGCAAGGATAAAAGAAACAGGAACAAACGGAAAATGTCGACATTCAATAGAAAAATCAATGATTTTTGACTTTCTATTTTCAAGGTAGGCGGAATTCAAGATCAAAATGAAGCAGAGCGAAAGAATTCTCTCGTCTAAAATATTCACAATGACTAGGCTTCTTCTTCTTCTGCTCCTGCCTTTTTTTCTTCCCGGAAAAAACTCATAGACATCATGCAACAGTGAACTATTGAAATTTCAATTGTGCCTATTACTATCGCAAGAACAGCAGAATAAATATTATTCGATGATGATGAGTAAACAGAGTAAGCCTCCTCTTGATAATCAAATATTTCATTTCGATATTTCTATAGAATCAACGACTTTATCGCGGCAAACTACTCCTATGGCTCGACATACAATATGTGGTGTGATCGAAACTTTAAGCGATCAATGTGTTTTAGAGTTGGATGATGTTATTGTCGTTACTCTATCCGATATAACACTCTTGGAATCGACACGTGTCGATTGTCCACATATACCACAACGATTTATTGTATCTAATGTTAAATTGGAAAATTGTGATTGTTTTCCAATACCATTTACACTTTATTATAATGAGGAAGAAATTGATGGAAATCTATGTTATGGTATACGATGTGATATTTTAGATAAAGACCAGCAAGTCAAATACAGTTCGGACCGATTCATTGATGTTCTTACTGACAAAAATCCCAAAACAAATGTACACATTACTGTCATACCATCTGGCGATCCTACAACAGCGGCTAACGACAAGACAGACGATGATGACTAGCTACACCAACATTAATAATAAAACGATGAAATACAAAAAACTAAATATTTATAATAAAAAAAAGACGTTTTGCTTAACTAAACATTTTTCCAGATAAACGTGATTTATCTTCTTGATATTTGTTGTGTTCAGCTTGCACTAGTTGTTGTAATTCATATTGAACTAATGTAAGAACTTTATCGTCATCTTTAACATTTTCCAGAAGATATTTATAATCATTTTTTGCTGCTTCAACATTCCATGCACTGACATGGGCTCGAGCACGACGGTAACGAGCCTTTCTATCTGTTGGATCGCTATCCAGTATGGTTGTTGCATGTTCGATAGCTGAATAGAAGTCGCCTAATTTCAGTTTACATTGTATAAAATTGAGTAACAATGGACGACGTTGTAAATCCAATTGCCGCCATTCGACATCATTTGGTTTTTCTCTATTGAAGAAAAAAAAAATAACCACAGAATACAATCAATTAGATTTGTTGTTATAAATTTTACTTGAGCATAAGATCTTCAAAAAATTGTAAGGCTTGTCCATATTTACTAGCAGCTTCATCATATTTACCAACATTATATAAATTATTTCCGGCTAATTTTAAATCAGGTATTTGACGTTGTTTTTCTTCATCGTTTAATAAGTACGTGTCTTTTTCGAATTCACCTGGATGCAAAACTTTGATTAATTCTAAAAAGAAAATATTATAATTTATAATTAATAGAAAAAATGTCAAAGTTGAATATTTTAAACAGAATTGTAGGACAAACATAAAACCTGAACTCTATGACATTAAGGTCATAGTTCTACGTAGCTAATAATGTGAAAGCATTCGACTGACTGTTGAAAGATAATTACATTCTATGATGAAGTTAGGTAAACGAGTATATACACTTAGGCCTGACCAAATTTTCTGCAATTTAAATTAAAAACATTAGCGAAAAAGAGAAAGTTCGAGTTTTATTTTATTTAATGTTGATGATAGTTGCCATTATATATATATATATATATATATCAAGTTGAATCCTTTCTAACAATTTGTTAAAAGTATTTTTGAGCTGTTTTTCGAAAAACAATTTAGGTACCTTGGATACCACGCGAACTAATCATATTTCGTTTATTTTATTAGTTAAACTACGTCCAATAGAATTGGTTAGCCAAAAATGGCATAGTATTAGGCATGGCGAATATGATGGATGTGACATTATATTGATTCCTTCTTCTGTCATCTAATTAATAACATGAAATAAGTATGGCGTCAACGATGATCGTCAAGCAATTTTGTACATTTCGGCCCTGATATCGCTGTTTGTTTCCATATTTCATTAACAAAGGGTTTCGGGCAATTTTAAATATAATACTTGTGACCTACAGTCTTGCCTCTATCGACACTGAGGACTATTTGATTTAAAGAATATACTGAACAGAGTTTTGGTTAAAATCTGTCTTCAGGGACTCCGATTAGGGGGAGGCTGTGGAGGGCCAGCCCCCCACAAAATTTAAGAAATAAAGTTGTTTCTGCGAAAATTTTTCCTAGATCTTGGGCTATTCGAAAAGTCTTGGTTGCAGTACGTCGGTGTACCGCCAATTAAGATGTTTTTTTTTTCTAGTAAAAATGTTGTTTTATGCATCCTATTGTTAAATGAATATTCTCGTTCTGCAGCTATTCGTCTCTATTGGTGAGTCCGCTGTTCATTTTCTATTCGTGCCAGAAAATCTTTAATTTCTAACTTTTACTTCTGTCGAAAAATCTAGCCATTCTATTTATTTCTGCCAGCAAGTTCACTCCACTCTATTTGTTCAAGATTTCATAAAAAATCCAGGGCGCGCAAATCACGAAATGTAACATCTTTTGAATCTGATCAATTGAAACCGAAAGATGATGAGTTTTGAAAAGCTTTTTGGAATATTTCTTTTTATTCATATGTTGTTTTTACTTATTTTTAATAAAAATGAACTTGGATCATCTATGCTAGATGATGATATTATAAATCAAGGATGTTCTTTTTGACGTATACTGTCTGCCAAAATTTAGCCCCACCCCCCCCCTCCCTTACTTCGAAAAGTAATCGGGAACCATGTCTGCCTTCATGAACAATAGTCATTGACGATTCATCTTCAATAAGTCAGCTAGCATCAGATGACTTATGACTAACCTATCTAAAAAACACCATATTCCATCACTAGTAGTACTAGAACGTAACTGCCATGACCGAACAGAATTTTTAAAACAATGAAATACGATTAGCCCATGTGGTATCCAAGGAACTTAATTTTTTTTGAACAAGAGCTCAAAAAAAACTTTTAACAAACTGTTAGAAAAGATTCAACTTGATATATATATAATCATGGCAACTGTCATCAACATTTAATAAAATAAAACTCGAACGTTCTCTTTTTCTTTAATTTTTTTATTTAAATTGCATAACTTTTGGTCAGACCTAAGTCGAATAGACGAGAATTACAATGCGACTTGGTTTCTAGTCATTTATCTACTATAATAGCTATGATAAAAGTCAATCTATAAGATCGTTGATAGGCTTCCGCATATTGAGCGTTCAAAACATCTACAATTTCCACATCAACGTCACAGAATTTTCTCTCGTTAACATTAATCCTGCCCTTGCAAAGACCTCAGAAAAATCTCGAATTTGCATTTATAGGAAACTCTTAGAAGTTTGAATTGTGTATAAATATACAGTTGAGCTACATACCAAATGTAAAATCGAGTGGTTCTGGATGTCTCATTAGTCTGTCGAGATCTTCATGACCAAGACCCTGTTCCAATGCCATAAAGCCACAACAATGATGATTTTCATGTTCTTCATCGTGTTTATGTTCTTTCATTTGATTTTTATAATAATCTCGAATTTGTTTGGCAACAGCTGGATAAACACCTATAAGCTGAATAGTAAAAATAATTTGATTATTGTTTTCGTAGGAGATACACAAATGAAATTCACATACATCTTTATCAACAGAAAACTTGGCTATTTCACCTAGACGCATTGTTTTTAAACATGTTTCCCAACACTCAATTTTAAATTGATGACCTAAGGTTATTTCCATAGGTTTTTTATATTTACGAGTATCATCGATCACTGTTCCATCTTGGGTTGTTGTTAAGAAATGAAAGAATATCTAAGATATGTTTAAAATAAAGATTCATATTTTTCCATCCGATTTTTTTTTCTTAATGCAAACCTTTGTTTCATCAACAAATTCAGGGAGTGGTTCTTTGCCGGCATTCAAAACTTGTTTCTTTATCGGACATTTTGATGCATCTGGTCCGTAGATCATTTTCTTCTATTAGACCTTTGGCAGCAGATATGTGTATTGACTTGTTGCGATGGTTAATCTAATTCGAACCAATCATCTATTTTAGTTATCTATTGCCATCTATAATACTTATTTCCTTGCCTAATAATTTACTATTTAAGATAGTAAATTAAGATAAAAACCTATTTAAACATTTTGTTGGTCTATTTGACAATGCATCAAAATATGATTTTCTTATTTATGATTGGATAACACTGATGAGTCATGGAGTTCTGTATACACAAATGCGAACGAAAAAAAAAACTTATCCATCTTTTTTTTCCTGTTATTTTTTTGGTTTTTGACAGTCAGCATATGTGTGATGTTCTGTTCTCTTCTCTTCTCTTTTCGTTTTTATTACAAGTAAGATATTGTATTACGTGTATTCATTTCCGTATTAAAGATAATTAAACATGTATGATGAAGTAGGAGATAAGGCCTTGACCTTTCTATGATTGACTGTTACATTTATTCAATTATTTTTGAACATATACACCTGTATCCTATATTCATTCTTGTTTGAAGATAATACTAACAAATGATCATATTATTATGATAACACAGCGTAATGTCAAATTTTCTACACGAGTGCCCTTTTTGTTTTGCTTAATGTGTCGCTTTGAAAAAATAAACATCTGAATTGATCTCTTCTTTTTCTTTCATTCCTTGCAGGCATTGTCTTTGATGTGCTTGCAAATAAGAGGAACATTGACAATCAGAGAAAAAGGTCATTTTGTGTTGTCATTCAAAGTGTAGTCAGATAAAATAGAAGAATTCTGATTGATGTCTACTTTGTATGCGTGCCACTCATGAGAAAATTCTTTTAGTTCAATATTCCGTGTAAATAGTTCTTTTCTTCTTAACTTTTGTTTTTTATGAGTGATCTTTTTCTCTCTTGTAACTCGATGAAATATTTCCTGTTTTCTCTTATCGTTACTATTGATTTGATGATGACTCCTCCAGCTGTTACCTCTGCAAGAACAATACGAGCAAAGTATATTACGAATATAAAAAAAGATCATTTCTTTTGCATACAGCCATTCTCGTTTATCCCGACTACGAGGAAGAAAAGCTCAATAATGTTTCGACAAATTATAGAACAAGCACATTATTTAGACTATCTATTTTCTTTTTAGAATATTTTATGTAGATATTTATGTATATTATTGAATCACCAGTAATTATTCTGTATATAAAATGAGTCAGGACGATATACTGCAATCGACAAAGTCTGTTATCCAAGGTCTTGATGCACTCAAGAATGAACATGGAAAGTTGCTTGAAAATATTGTTAATACTACGCAAAAATTGTCACCTATGGAAGCAAATAAATTAGAAGAAAAAGTTGGTTTACTTAGAAAATCAATGGATATGATTGAATTAGGTACGTAGATAATAATAACAGCCAGCTCATGATATGTTTATGTATTCAAATAGGAATTGGTGAGGCTCACGTCATGATGCAATTAGGTAATCATTTACAAAATCTTGAAGCTGAAAAACATAAATTACGTACACAAGTTAAACGGCTATGCCAAGAAAATGCTTGGCTACGTGATGAATTAGCATCGACACAGAAGAAACTTCATGAATGCGAACAAATCAATGCTTCTCATTCGGTTGAAATTGAGCATTTGAAATTTTTAAAAGATGTTCGCCAATACGATGTTGATAATGACAATTCTAATGCACAATCAACATCAGGAACGAATCTAGGCAATTCAAATCGATCGAGCAATGGGCAAGATCTTGTTAATGATTTATTTCCACCTGATGACAATGACAGTGGACAAGATATTTGTGGTGATCAACAAGATATTGGTGGCGGTAATCAACAAGAGAATGCGAGAAGATTTGGTTCGTATGCTGATCTTATGATGTCACCATCTCAATCGGCTACTGGCTCGTTTATTTCAACAACTGGATATGAAATACCAGCTAGACTGAAAACTTTACATAATTTAGTTATTCAGTATGCTTCTCAAGGTCGTTATGAAGTTGCTGTACCGCTATGTCGACAAGCACTAGAAGATCTTGAAAAAACTTCAGGACATCAACGTAAGTCAGTTCATCGTCATTTTATGAAACTCGATCGTGTATGGATTAGTTCTTTATTAAATCAATGGATGATGCAGAAAAATATCGTTTTGCCATTAGTACGAGCGTTTCACGTTGCAGATCCCATGAGAATTAACTCTAATATGTTATTCTTTCAGCAACATTCACATAATTGAGAGGCCTTGTTTTCTTGTGCTACTCGACAGAGAAATTCTTTTTTCTCTGATCTACAAAATTATTGATTAAGAGTTCTTTGCCAGCACATGTCAATCTATTCTTAGTTCAAAACACAAAAATGAACTGCTGGATTGAGGGTTTTACAATGTTTTACTGGTGGCATGGTAGAAAATTTAGTTAAATCTTTTCTGCAGTAAAACTAGATGCGCATGACTCTTGTCTGTGTATCGGAGATGTTGTTACTTATACACATTCACGTTAATTGCATTGAAAACGGAAGAAAAGGTTCCCTACTGGGTATAGCATTTCCGTCAAACAGCTTCTTTATCTAGATCGGAATTTTTGTTTTTTTGTTGTATTTAGATCCTGATGTTGCTACTATGCTAAATATACTTGCGCTTGTTTATCGAGATCAATCGAAATTCAAAGAAGCAAGTGCGTTACTTAATGATGCATTAGCTATTCGAGAAAAAACACTCGGACCCGATCATCCAGCCGTAGCGGCAACATTAAACAATCTGGCTGTTCTCTATGGTATGCAACATATTTTTATTTAAAAAATAACAAAAGATTTTCTTTCTTTTTTTTTGTAAATTTTAGGTAAACGTAATAAATTCAAAGAAGCGGAGCCACTTTGTAAACGTGCTCTTGAAATACGCGAAAAATGTTTAGGTCCATCGCATCCTGATGTAGCTAAACAACTTAATAATTTAGCGTTACTCTGTCAAAACCAGAGTAAATACGATGAAGTTGAATCCTATTATAAACGTGCAATTGAAATCTATACAAAAAGTTTGGGCCCCGATGATCCGAATGTTGCTAAAACAAAAAATAATCTCGCATCCGCTTATCTCAAACAACAAAAATATAAAGAAGCTGAACAATTATATAAAGAGGTATTAACACGTGCACATGAAAAAGAATTCGGATTACCTCATCAAGATCCATCGACAACAGCGACTGGCAGTGGTGGTGGTGGTGGTGGTGGTGGTGGTCCGTATGATGCACACGGAGGTTGGTATAAAACCATACGAGCAGATACACCAACTGTAACAACAACATTGAAAAATCTCAGTCTACTTTACCGACGACAAGGACGTTACGAAGCAGCTGATACACTAGAAAATTGTGCATTACGTGCGCGTAAAGATCCACAAGCTATTGTTCAAGCACTTAATATAATTAAACAAACTAATAATCCATTATAAATAATAATTTCTTATTTTTATCATAACAGTGAAATGATTTAAATTATGTTCTCGATATTATTTGTCTCGTATTGTTGCTTTTGTCATTGCACTTTTTCTTGTTTTCATTTATATTGTAGTCGTTTATTGATCTCATTCACTTTTTTAAATCGGTTTGTGCTTGATGAAAGCTGTAAGCTGTGGCATTTAAAAAATACTACTAGAGGAAGAATTTTCAATTTTGACAATATATAAATATATATATACATATATGAATGTTTAATAAAAACGAAATAGATCGTCATTCCGTTTTAGATTGATCGAGAAGAAAAAAAATATACTAACACAACAGATTAAATCACAAGCGAAGGAAAGATAACAAATTGAAAAGAAAACTTTCACACACAACGAGCCGTGCTAGCAAGCAGAGATGGGTGAAGATTATTGGAATTCGTCGTCGGTTAGCAAAAAAAATATGTTCGATATAGATGGCAATAATACACTCGATGTAAGTTCTAGAATAATGGCAATGTGCATTTTTTTTATTAGAAATCGAACTATATCTTAAAAATATAATATAGCGTTTTAAAAATCGTTCTGACCCATTGATTGTAAGTTTTTGTATTTGTTTGTTCGTCTACTCACGGTTACGGTTCATTCTTCTTCATAAAAACTGAAAGACTGGATCGGTGCAAACTAACTTCTTTGTTGCTGTTTTCTCATCGCTAATGCATTTTTTCTTGATATTTGTGATTTATTAATATTCTTGCTTTCTAATACATTCTTTGTTTTATTCAAAATCATTGTAGGATATTATCCTTGATTCAAGTCGTTCAACACCACCAATAAATACAACAGGAGTGGTTTCAGCTCGTTTTCGTCCAGCAACTGCCACCCCAACTACTACTACTACTACTACTGCTGCTGCTAAAGCAACGATTACCAAACCGGCTGCAAATAATTCTCTGATAACAACAACAACAACAACAAGTAATCAACCGAAATTTACTATTCCTACATCACAAGTTTCACGTCCTATCGATCAATCTGTTGAATGTAAGTAAAAACTATGTAGATATGCATGAAAATATTTTTTTCGCTCTTCTGTCTAACCTTTTCTTGTTTGTAATGAAATAAAGAATGCGATAGAAAAAAAGAAAGGAAAGAACGAAACACAACAACTGACGTTTAGTACTGACTCGAACATCAATCTACTTACAGAAAGAAAAAAAGCAGTCAGTACTTGCGAGATGAATTACTGATCATGAATAGTCCAAGTCCGAAGCCTTTCAAAAAATCTCAGAATTTATTGCGTAAAGTTGGTCAAAAAGTTGAACAAACTTTTAATCTCGCTAATCCAAATATATTCCATGGTTCCTTATCATCATTAATTGACTTGCCCGATAGTGCGCTTCGTAGAGGAGTAAAAGATCGTAATCTATCACGTGAAGATACAGTTTCATTACAAAACCTTCCCGAATACAGTCCGAAATCTCCAAAAGTCAAATTTCGAAAGAAAGATGGTAACATTCAATGGTAATTAAACAGATACAAAATTTTATTCATTTTAGCTGCTCGATTCGGTCGTTCACCAGTTCCGGGACCATCCAATGATATCCATTCCAATGCTCAATGGTTACCCAATGCAGAAGAATATCGTATGTCGATGAACTTTTACGCTCAATTATTTTATTTGCTATTTTAGCTGATCAAAATGTCAGAGATCGAAGTACACAGTACGACAAAGAAATGGAATTACGTTGTAAAAATCTACTAGAAAATAAAGTAGATATTGAAAAAAACTCGAAGAAACATTATTTTCGATATTCGGATTATTTTAGAATGCGAAACTAGATGATATTCAAGATTATGATAAAAAAGCCTCGTTATTACGAATGGCTATTAAAGTTAATACACCCAATGCTACTGTTCCAGTAAATTTATTTTGTTTCTCTTTTGTGTTCGTTTATTTTGCATTTTTCTAGGTATTGATTTTTCTTGAAAATACTTTGTCACGACCATTATTCTTCGACTTGATTAAACAGCATCCACAAGCCATAAATAATTATATAAATATGACAAAATTAAGATTTGACAATGATTATTATGTATCTATGCTCAAGTACGTTTGATAGAAGTGCTTATGTGATCTGAAATTTAATAGATATTTTATTTTCGTAGACAATTTGGTCGAAATGAAGATGTGGCAGTAAGTGAGAGATATATGCAATGAGCAAAAAGAAACCATTTCTATATTCGTAATTTAAGATGATACGTCTTCGACAAGCAAGTCAAGTCAATGATATGAATACTAAAATGGCGATATTAGATCAAGCAGCAACGTATAGTTACAATTTATAATTTGAAATTAAGTAAAAACCTAATTATGTTTTTCAGTGAACTTGGATCACATCCATGGTGGCATTTACAAATTGCTGAACAACGAATTTTACTTAAAAAGCAGCGAGAATTACAAAATGTATGGTTGAAGAATTCTTTAGATTGAATTTTAGGTTCTGTTTTTTTCTTCTAAATTTAGTCTCAAGCGAGTCGAACAGTTCTTGAGATATACAAAACAGTGTACGAAACAGATTTTCGAAAACAAAAACAAAATCGAAATACAGATAAAACAGTACGAGATATATTGACTTGATTAAGAATGATGAAATTATTCTATTATTTTAGGCACTCGATCGAAGTAAAGAGTTCGAAACGGCTTTTCATGTAAATTTTCTTATTAATTATCGGAAATTTTTTTAAAAAATTTGTAAAATAGATGTCTCCAGAAATAATTATGTGTGGTAAATTGTCTGTGATTATGCAATGTGGTTTACGATCACATTATGATGATTTTATTCATCAAGCCATACATCAAGTATGTGTGATATAATGTCCGATAAGAATTTATTTTCAAATGCTTATTATTAGGGTATATTTGGAAAGAAATATATTATTGCACCAGAATATCTTGCTGATATGGTTTACAATTGGGTACGAGTAAGTGGCGATGGAGCAGAAAAAGCAAGTGAAACAGCTGCACGATTTCTTACAATGATTCCTGATCCAGATAAGCGTATTTATTTTGCTGAAAAATTCCAAAATTTTGATGTAGCTATCGATGTAAGTAACGAATCGAATGTTTTGTTTTCTAGAATTTCTGATTTATTAACTTTTAGACAATTGTTAATATTCTTCGTGATCGATTACAATTAGAAAATTTACGTAGACGTATGCCACATGATCACCCGGCATTTAATAAGGCTACATCACTCTTAGAAGTAAAAAACGATAAGCTATGCTTTATTCATTCTTATTTATTGTTTTTGTTAATTAGAACACAAAATGGCGAAATTAAAAAAAAACGAATGCGTCGAATAATCGCCGTTTTGCTGTCAGATGAACGTATTATATTTAATTTTCCTTTTTTCAAAAATTTTATTTCACTCGGTAATTATTTTAAAAATAAGAAAACAAAATCAATTTCTTTTTTTTCAAAAACTTTAATGCAATGCATAAAATAAAGTAATGAATAAAAATAATTTAAAGATAAAAATACTAATCAATGCCAAGTGTTTATCATTTTATTAAAGATAATTAATTATTATTTTCGGTAGCTGTCGGTTCTTGAGGAATTTTTGAAGCTGAACCGATTCGTGGTGTAACTGCGACAGGTTGGATTTCATCGGATGATGGTGAGTTTTCTGTTAGAATAACAGGCGAATCAGTGGAATCAACATTCGCTGTTATTGTAGATTCATCAGTTGATGTCACTTTAGCTACTGAAGCTGGACGTTCAATAATCGGTAGTGTTGCATCTGCATCATTTGCATTAAATAGTGTTGATGTATTTTGTTGTTCGGTGGTAGAATCGTCTACAGTTGTCTCATCTTGTTTTACACGTACCGATGGTGGTCTGGAGTTTGTTGGAACTGTATTTTGAGTGGCCGATTGTGGTCGTGCACCTATCGTCGTAGTCGGATCAGTAGAATCACTCCGTCTAGTTATATCGGTTGTTTGACTACCTGTTGTTGGTCTCGAACCTGGCGTGATAGTAGCCGAGTCGTTCGTAGTGGATTCGCTTGCTATTAGATTTGGAGAAGGTGGTCGTGAATTAACTGGTGCAACTGTACTTGGTTGGTCAACTTTTGTAGATCCTGATGGTGGTCGTGGACTGGCTACATTAATAGTATAACCATGTGTATTTGATTCATCGACTTTTGAATTAGCCGAAGGTAGTCGTGAAGACTTTTTCTCAGCATTTGTTGAATCCGTGACTGTATTAGAAGTAAGATCATTCTTTGCTGCTGATTGCGGATGTATACCTGAACCCGGGCGAGACCCACTGGCAGCAGCTTTTACTGATGGTGGGCATTCAGACGAAGAAGTTACTTCTTTTCCATCAACAGAAACATCTGATGATGCATCATTATCATTAGTAGTGACTTCCGGTGTCACTGTGGTCGTATCATTTTCCGCCGGTTTTAGCGATGCAGACGGTGGACGAGACGTTTTCACTGCAGACGATGGACGAGACGTTTTCACTGCAGACGATGGACGAGACGTTTTCGCTGCAGACGGTGGACGAGACGTTTTCGCTGCAGACGGTGGACGAGACGTTTTCGCTGCAGTTACTTGATTCGCCGATTGACCACGAGATGATGATGAATTTTCAGAAGTAATAGGTGTTGACGACATATTGTGTAGAGAATACAATACGAGAAACAAACAAAAAGAATGGAGAACACGACTGAACGGCTTTTGTTACTGCCGTTCGGTTATTTTTCTGCTTAAAAGATGTTGAATTGCTTCAGTTTACATAAGAAATGAATGAGTAACTAACTGATTCTGCTTCACAACCGTTACAACAAATCTATAAAAAAAATACACATAAGAAAAAAAATCGATTTTTCTCTCTCTCGCTCGCTCATTCTAATGATAAAATCAACTGAAATTTATATATATATATAATGTAACTTCAAGGTCGTATTTTGTACTATGGTGTCAAAGATAAATCGATGGTTTACAGTATACGCTTTCGTCGTCAATTTTGAAGTATATACCGAAAATAAAACACTTTTATTTTGTTACTAATTCAACTTAGATGCACAATTCTTACGTGATGAACTTTCAATCATATGATGCTTGTGAATTCCATATGAATTCAGAAGGGAAACAAAGATAGAGATTCAAGTAATCCTTTACATACGCTGTTTTAGATTTGAATAAAAAAGAAACCCAACTGAAATATTTATTTTGGCGATAGCTAATAATGTTGAAGTGGTATTAACTTGAACTTTGGTTTTTTATTATCTCTGATATCTGTAAAAATAAAACTGTTGATTCAATCTTTATAGGATTAAAGTGTAAAAAGCAATTTAGTCTTAATCGCTCACAGTAAAAAGAAGTTTTTTTTTTTTTTTTTTTAATTCCGAGGAATTTTATTCGTGACATCCATACATTTTTTTGTGATTTTTGTACAATTTTTTGCGGACGCTTACGAAAAGTAAAAAGAAGTTTGTTTTATTGCATTGATTCCGAAACACATTTCTTCAATAAACTTCCAGCATTTACCAATAACATCTCTCATTGCCTGTGGTACTGAGAAAGCGAGTGTTGCTAAGGTATATGTGATGGTCTATGCCACTTTTATGGCGTCTGTTACGATCGATGAATTTCTATAAAAAGAAACTCGCAACGTACTGCATAAATCTCAATAAAGTATGTCTACTGGTCGCTGAAAATCTGTATTCAATCGTCCTTACCTTACAATTTCAATTCACGTATTTTTGTAACATTGTTTAATGCATGTTGCGCATCTCTTTATTAGGAAATAAATTTTATGAATAAAGAAGGAAAACTATCAAGACATACTTCATTGATTAACGATTTAGCTTATTTATTATGCATTATAAAAATGAAAGATTATAAAACCTGTACGGAAATTTTGTCTGGATCATTTATGGTCATAATATAAATTCAAGCAGAGAGAAATAATCAGAATACAATAGGATGGTTTCGTGAATCTAATGAGAAAAAAAAATGGTTACCTGGTTTTTCTCCATAAATGACTAGATACTATTTTAATTGTAGCTGTGAAACCATTAGAAATTGACTGTATGCCAAATTAGGTTACAACTGATAGAGACCGATTAATATGTTGTTGCGGTCTCGAAGGGATGAATTGAGAATCATAAAAAAATTCTTATCAATAAAGAAAAGAATTTTATAGGTTTGCATTCGAGATAAGAGGTTTTTGTCGAATGAAAATTAGTCAAGTGTTTGCGTTTAATCTTTAGCAAAACTCATGGATATGGCCATTATTTCTATTGAAATTATCAAGGTTGATATTTGTAATTACTTTACAATTATTTATGCACATCACACAAAAATAACTTGAATATTTACATTTATAATAAAGATCGAATCATGAATAGTCTGTTTGAACTCATGCTGAATTCACTGCCATGTCTCAGTAAGAGTAGGAAAATTAAAAAATATTCCAATCAGAAAAACATTCTTGCTGAATTAATAAGAAATTTTCATTTTCTGCCAGCATTTTACTTTTTACGGGGGAAGAAAACGATTCAACACCGAAAAATGTACTGCACTAAAAAGAGCTATCTACTAGGCATCCATTGTTGATAAATTACAAGATTTCGATTTAATGAAATGTTTAAATGCACCGGTTTGTTCTTGTTGTTAAGTGGAATAGTAAAAAATTAGCACATTTGCTCGTTAGCTACAGTAATGTTGAACTTGATGGTCAAACCTCACTCTTCAATACCTTTAGTTAATGGATTTCAAATAAAACAGTCAATTGATTTTCCAGAAGAAAAATCTGTAGTAGCCGGTAAGACAGCTATTGAAATACAAACAAGTCTTCTTGGTCCGATTGGCTGTGGCTCCGATGGCAGAACTTTCTGAAATGGTTTGAAGTTGGTTGAAGAAAAACGATGCAAGTTAAAGTACAAGTAATCAAGGGATGAATTATATCAAAATTTTGTTATTCATTATCTGAAGTTGAAGCTATTTTAGCTGAAAATCGTAGTATGAAAGAAAAATGTTTAAATGGAATTGCACGATCGGTCTATTACAAATATTTGTATAGAAAAACTGACTTAACATCCTACGTTGTTAAAACAGCTGCTTTTTGGATGTCTAAAACCATTAAAATTGATGAAACTATATCAAATACTACTTTAGTTCACAATTGGATCGATTTTATATGACAACGTTTGGTGACAGGTTATTGTTCACATTACTTTATCGAAAATTTAAATCTATTTGCAACTCTAAACGTGAGGATGTAGATAAAGTTTTTCTATTAACGCGTTAAAACGAGTCATTTATTAACAAAAATATGTATTTCTCGATCTGTATATCTCCTATATGATATTTTTTCAACTTACCAGTGTTATTATGAGCCAGCTTTAGTTAACATCTAGTTATAACAACAATAGTGCATTAAATCTACTGAATAAAAATATTGAGATAAACAGCAATGAAACCATTCTCAGCCAAGATCCTTACAATGAGCAAATATTTTCAAATGATTTCCAAAGACTACTAGCACCATTGATGGACTATGCTCTGTCATTGATATCGCAAGAACTAGAACAGCTCATTCATGCTGACTCCAATACTAGTTTACCAAATGCACAATCACAAATATATACTATTTCGGGTTAACTGGTGTCATATGTGAGTAGCTGATGTTGATGTGTATTCATTTGTTGTTGCCATAATCATTACAGATAGTATGAGCAATTCCAATGTTCGTTCTACACCCACCCTCTAGTTTATCATCTTGTAATTTTCAGACATGTACACACTCTTATCAATGGTCAATAAATAGGGCTTTGTCTACATCGTACAATTACATCTTTAAGTCGATTAACGAATACTCATTATAATATATTAGTTGAAAAAACATTTCTGAACAATAAAAAATCGAGTGTTATTGTGCTACCCTCTATATTCTCTAAGACTCATTAGTCACCCTTGTTGTCGAATTCTAATTTCCTACTGTGACGAAGAAAATGAGCTCAAATAAAAATATGAAATTTTGAACTATATATGAATATCTATGAGTCATTTACTTGTTTTTTTTCTTCAAAAAAGAAAAAGAAATCGCCTGCGTCAGAACGAAGAAAAACAGATGATAGTCAGCGGTGGCGTTTGCATGTCATGATGATGTTGCATTTCTTTCGTTCTCTTTTTCCTTTTCTAGATTACAGCAGTGGCATATATAAATCTGTCATTTTCTCATACGTTGCTTCTCTATTTTCTGCGAAAGAAGAATTTTCTTTGGCACACGAATCACTGAATGGCATCTACAAGACCTAATGAGATTTTCAACAGTAAGTCTAATTACACCATATCGATTTTTAATTGAATCGTTAAGTCGTTTCTACAGGTGTTTAAAGTTAGCTACTTCTCTTTTTTATCTTATCCGGAAAGGTTAAATACTACTAACTTAGTGAAAGCCTATGTACTTGAGCCCATTCAAAATTTGAATATTAAAATCTTAGTTTTCGAAAAACACGAGATCCACAAAAGCACATAGATGATATCTAATACTGAATTAAATTCTTTCTTGTCGAACAAGTTCTATGCATCGTAAGAAGAACGAAAAGTGAAAACTGTTTTACATTACTATTTTCTGGTTCACCAAGAGATCTCATCAGTATTTCATTTTCTTTTCATCTATGTTTCAACTACTAATTACCTCTTTCCGTGAAAACTAACAATTATTCAATTTATTCATGGAACCATTTCGAAAGAAAAATTCATTGAGGAAAGTCCAAATTTTTCTTTTTTTTTTTAAATTTCAATTAGCCAAAATCATCTTTAGTCTCCTAAACTTCTTTTTCATTTAAAGCACAGAATAACGGTGACACGATGCATCGAGAATCTGCAAGCAACTCGTCATGTCATATCGTTATCATCGGAGCTGGTGTTGCTGGTCTAGCTTGTGCCAGATATTTAACACATTCACTTAAGAATAAGTCATATAAAATTACAATACTTGAAGCTCGTGATCGCGTCGGTGGTCGAACATTGAGTATACCTGAGCTCAATCTTGATTTGGGAGCATCATGGATATTTTCACCTCACACCGCAGCACTATCACTTGTGCGTGAGCTCAATATTGGTACAATCGATCAATATGAAGATGGAATTTCGCTTATGAAATCCGGAAGTGACGTTCGACGTATGCACTTGGGTGAGATTCACAACGGTGCTATACGTCTTAAAGGTGGATCAGGTAGTTTGTGTGCGACGCTACTCAATGAGCTAACTACAAAGAATCAAACAACAGTCGCTGTACAACTTAACTCACCAGTCATATCTATTACGTACGAAACTAACCAAAAAATCAATATAGAACTACGTGACAAAAAGTCAATAGTAGGCGATTACGTCGTTCTAGCTCTACCACCCAAACTATTTATATCAACGATTAAAATAACACCTCAATTACCAAAATCACTTATCGAAGAGCTCAACGACTGTGATACTTGGATGGCATCAACATGTAAAGCTATTCTACAGTACGAACGCGCATGGTGGAAAGATCAAAAGTTGAGTGGATTTGCTGTTTCACGTCAAAGCAACGCACAAGAATGGCACGATGCCAGTAGTGATACTTGCAATGCTCTCTTTGTTTTTTGTTTACCTGGTACAACCAAACAACAGGTGATTGATGCTACTGTTAAAATATTTGGCAATGAAGCAACTATTCCAACAGCTGTACACATGGTCGATTGGAGTAATGAACGATTCACGTCAGGTTCGACAGATCACAGTTTTGGCGGTCATGCACATGCAAGTAATATCTGTAGACAATCTCAATGGAATGGTCGACTATGGTTCGGCAATAGTGAAGTGAGCAATGCGCATGGTGGCTTTATTGAGGGTGCTGTTCGAAGAGGTGCACAAGTTGCTAATCAACTAACAGAATTGATCGTTGGGAAGTGATGTGTATCCTGATATGATGAGCCGATTTAGAAGAATAATGAAACGAACAGCTGATTGTTTTTGTTTCAAACTTGTATGTTTATTTTTTTTCTGATTATGCTCTATAGTATTCAATACAATATTGTTCACTTCGTTTTTTTGCAATCAAAACCAAATTCAGTCATAAAAGGACTGAAAAAAAGTAGGGATGTAGAATGTTATATTTAGAAATATATTGATAGAAACGATGTTCCAACAAATGTTATTTCTAGCCCTTTATAGTTTATTGCTGCTTTTCAATTGGTTTTGTATGAATTATTTTATTGATGCAAAATATGGGCAACATAGATATATTGGATATTTTCATAGTACTTCCGGATCCTGATTGAGCAAAACTGAGTTATAAACCAAGTATGCTTTGAACATGAAAACGTACGACTTCTGTATTCCAGAAGCAAACAAACGATCTATATCATCCTACCAGAGAAACACCCATATGGAATAAATCATACCTATCAATACCCGTAAGCATAAAAATAGCTATCGAAATGATCCGTTGATTAACTAGTTGACACAAGTAAGCTTGACTAATAAGAAATCCCACTCACTGTTGATGTATCATGAGTGTACTTAAAGTGTCTGCCTTGAATCGATACAAATCATCATGAATCACAGCATCGAAAGTAAATAATTGTAAAGAACGTCATTTGTTTTAAAAAAAAAAACTATCATTTGATCATACAGAAATAACAACGTCTTAATACTAAAGCAACTGCTACTGAAAACCCAACACAAACTCTGGCAGTCGAAGGTGTACGACTTTACCCGTAGATTGTGAGTAGTACAGAAAAGCTGTATTAACTACCATGTGAACAGACAAATAATGAATTGCCCATTTAAACTAAGCTGTGAAAAATAGTCCAATCGTTGAGATAAATATTTATTTTGAGTGGAAAAATATCATTCACAGCGCAGACATCACACATCGAGATATTCTAATACAGCAATAATGTATAATGAGAATCAAGTTTCAGACATTTGCTTTTCTCGTTCTGGTAAACTTGTCAAGTATCGCACATAAATCGTTATCGGTGTGTTTTCTTATGACAGTTTTATTTATTCCATTCGTAATTCTTGGCCATATCACAGATTTCTATCTGCAACTGAAATTCTCGCACTAAATAGCTTTGAATATTTCATTTACTGTAAAAAACAGTAAAAGGACAAAAAATGCGAACTGAGAAATATTGAACATCAAAATTTAAAACCTGTACGTTCAAAACGAAGTAGTTGTTGCAGAAAACCGATATTGGGGCATGCACATGGGCGCGCCTGATTCACGCGTAGAACAGCTTCGGTAGCACCAATATGGTATGCAGCTATCAAGTAGGCAGCAACTATCGTGGCCGAACGAGATACACCTGTATTTAAAAGAAGAAATAGTTTACATGTTTCATAGTTGCTGATTTTTATTATTCATCATGTAACCTGCAGCACAATGAACCAAAACAGATCCATCATCGGTATTCAATGATTTACGAATAAAATCTAGTGCCACGGGAAAATGTGAGGAAATGTCATAATTATCTTCATCATGAGTATCCAAAGTGAGAAGAACTATATGTGAATGACCGGAAACAGTAAAGAAATCGACAGGATACGATGTTGACCCTGTCATATTCAGTACATACTTGATATGATGACGCTGCAGTTTTTCAAGGTTGCGAGCATCAGGCGCAGAACCAAGGAAAATACGATCACAAATCAATGATGGTGTCTCATCATCATCTTCCAAAAGTTTCCCGAACATTGTCGAATACAAACGACGTGCTTCTTTTGCAAAAACTTCATCTTCTGCAGAGGGAACAGCTTCGATTTTCACAATCGAAGACATCTCTCTATTTTATTGCAAGAGAAAAAAGATGTTGAAAATATAAATCGGGGTTTTCTTCAGTAACAGTTACCTTTATACACTTTGTAAATGTTTACCAATCCTTCTCAAACATACTAAGCATGACATTATAATAAAATAAATATAAAAGCACGTTGTTTTTTTTTGTTTTCTGCCGTCGGTTGTCAACTATCATGAAAATATTGTTGCGAATTTTTACCTATAACTATTAAACTTGACTGTTGAAGAGTAGCCATGGAATTACGTTTCCTCCATTCAACCGAAGCGTAAATCGCCATACAATCCAGTCTATGTTGACAATGTTCCACTTAGCTATCTTTGATAGGAATGTAAAAATAAAGATTAGTGAAAATTATTTAGGATAGTGTTCTATTGAGATAGATTAATAATGTTATCTTTCGTAATGCAATTAGCAATGATAACATATCTTTATCGATTCACTAGTTTGCTTGTACATTCCAGAAATCCTATTGAATATTATCTATACTGTCAAATTCTGTTGCTGATTAATATTTTACGGTAAGGACAATTGTCGAGTTATCGGTATTGGAAAATACTACTTCAATCGCAAATTCAAACCTTTTGAGGATCCGTAAAACATTTTGTATTCGATACTAAAGTGTATCTATTGTGTTCGTTGTAGTAATGAATTAGTAGATATAATATGTTTTATTTCTTGAATGCATTTATCAACTAAATCATTACTTTATACCTGATTGTTCGACACGAGGGAAGGACAATCAATGATAATATTCTAACGGATTATTATGTTCGTACGTATTTTAAAGAATAAATTTCTATTCATTCAAGTATTCATCTAGTTCATTTAAATTTCTGCTGAACTATTACGAGAAGTGATACTAGAAGAAAATACTTTCGACTTGCCGTTACTTATCACGACGAAGAATTTCCTATCCGATCATAATATCGATCGTTGAATTTTAAATATCTATTTTTTTCCTGTATGCTTCTTGTCGACGTCTATATATAAGATAGTTCCTTTCGTTATTTTTTTCATCCAATCTCGTTTCTTTAATGATTCATTTCGTTCACGTAATTTTTACTAAGATAGCCTTTACAATCTTCTTGAAACATATAAAAATATGCATATTATACTCAGCTTCTCACTATATGCACTACAAGAACTAAATAAAAGAATTTTTTCGACTTTTGGAGATTAGTGAAATGAGATTTATTTTTCTTCGAAGACAAAAATCTGATTTAATATTACCCTAGTGAAAGTACTCGCCCAGCGAGTACGACTTTACAGCATGAGTACTCAGATTACTTGAGTGAGTACTCGATGAAATTTATGTGTAACTATACTTTTCATGTACTATGATGAGTACTCCACTGAGTTTTCTCTCTAAGAATTACTCGTACACGAAAATACGAGTACTCGAGGTAGTACTCATCGTTGTTTTTCAGAAGACATTTAACAAAACATCTATGCACTAGGATGTACGAAAATAAAATAATATTGCGTAATTAAGATCAACTATATAATGAAATGAAAATTACGAAAGAACTTTAAAAATATATTATCAATTGTATCCTCCATATTTTGTGATGAGTCACTCATGTGACTTAATCAATTGGCTATTTAAAGAATAGAAAAAACAAAGTCACTTCATTTCAGCTATTCGTTTCTCGAGTAAGACCAAACATTTATGTGAAAACATAAAATTATGTGTTAAATTTTACGTCTTAAATCAAAGACGAAATATCGTTTTAGATAAAATTAAATTTTTTGGGAAAACAAATGAAACACTAGACGACTGAGAAAATTATTCACAAACTTATAGAATTCGATAGTCTGAAGAAACATCTATCATATAGAAGACAGTTGATACATTTTTTATTTTTTACTTAACGATTATAGTTTTCGATTTGAAATGTTCATAATTTATATAACGATCTAAAGTGAATGTGTATTGTTATCACTATCTTAATTTGATCCATAATTTATTTCTCATGTCTGTTTGTGTTTACATATGCTTCAGTGTTCTTGATACAGATTTTTATTCATATTTTCTTACATTCTGTGGATAAATGTTTTATCACTATATCATAATTAAACAAATTTAAAGACGATGAAACAATTCGTTTCTCAGATTCTTATGGTGTAACTCACTGTTCTATCATTAGTTTTTGAAATAAATAAATTTTAAACTAGTAAAAGGATACTGAGCAATATATGTGCCTGAGTATTTTGACGAAAAGCCCACCAGAGTACTCACAAAACACTCGATTTTATGAGGCGAGTACTCAATAGTCGTACTCAGATACTCAAATCCTACTACAAGTACTACTAACGAGTACTCAAACCCCATGAGTACTCATGAATACTCGTGACATTTTCTAGCGTGAGTACTTTTTGAGTACTACCCTATGAGTACCTTCACTAGGGTAGCCATTAAAAAAAAACATGAATCTCGGTAGAAAAAAGTATGGCTCAGTATAAATACGATTATTTCACTTTTGAATATTTGGTTCTGAACGTGAATATAAATGAAAGCTAGATTCCAATCATGATTTTGAATTTCTTAATGATAATATTTAAATAATGAGCAAAGTACTTCTCAGATTGTTCACTAGGAAATTTATAAATTGAACATGATTTATCAACAAATAGTTAATAGCTCAAACCCACTAAGCTACACTACTATTTAGATATTTATTTATATAATATGGATAGATTTTCTCATGAAAGTGTACATTTTCATTACAGAATTAGATGGAAATGAAGCGTATTCTTGTTACTGGTGCAGCCAATGGACTTGGTCGACATATGGCAACGAAGTTCCTCTGTCGAGGCTACTACGTCACATTGGCAGATAATGATACGACCTCTCTGAAATTACTTGAACAACTACTTTCCAATGATCACTGTGTATTTCCACCAGGCTCCGGTCGCACAGTTCAAACACATGCTTTATTTTATAGCTGCAATATCAATGATGAATCATCAGTATCTTCATGTATCACTTCGAGCATTGAGAAATTTTCCGGTTTGGATGCTCTCATTAATAATGCTGCTATTGCAAGTCCATGGATCGGTGGCAAAGACGATCCTAATACTCCGTTTGACGATGTACCTGTTTCACAATTTCGTAGTTTCATAGAAACAAACCTAATTGGTCCGTACATCTGCTCTCGGTACGCTGCTCCACATCTTCGTGCAACAAAAGGTTGTATAGTTAATATTTCATCAACACGAGCACTCCAATCAGAGGCTAACAATGAGGGCTATTCTGCAAGCAAGGCTGGTCTGATTGGACTTACACAAGCTATGGCTGTTAGTTTTACAGGTTCTGGTGTCAGAGTCAATGCGGTTTCACCTGGTTGGATCGATGTTCGTGATATGGATACGAAATACTTGGCTCAACAAAGCGAAGCAACTGTTATTCCTTCTCTGACTGAGTCGGATCATTCACAACATCCTGCTGGCCGTGTCGGTTTACCTGAAGATATCACAAAAATTGTAGAATTTTTAGTAGATGATGTTAACGGCTTCATTACAGGACAGGTAATTAACAGAGTCCCTCCTCTTTCGTTGATTCACAATGACGCATTTATTATTTCATGCTGTTTTTTACTCTTCATAGAACTTCGTCGTTGATGGTGGCATGACAAAGAAAATGATTTATCAAGAATGATTTAACATTGAACATGAGTTCATCTCATTCAATTTATTTTGAATCGTGGGTGAGCTTTTTTCTCGAGGAAAATAAAACTCTATAGTACACTTATACTGTTTTTTTTCTTCTCTTCTTCAATTACTCCTCGAGTTATCATAATCGCTTAGTTGTTGCGCAGTCCTTCTAACAGATAATTGACCTTCTGTTGAAAGAATAACGGTTTTATCGATACCAAGTTAAAATTACGGGTGCATGAGAGTGTGTGATTGTTGTTTCTCATTTGGAACAGATCATAGTTAATCACTATGCAAATCTATTTGCGGCGACATTACAAATAAAATCAGTGCAGAACGTCAATGTAAGTTTTTATATGCATAATCTTGCTTATTTCTGAGTTTTTCACAACTCAATTGACGAAAGATAGATGTAAAAATAAGTAAACTAAGAGAGATAAATGAATAACATTGATGAGTTCACATAAATAGCTGACTTTCTTCGTTCATTGTAATATATGTGTATTTTTTTATACAGTTAAATATCTATCTATCGTTTCAAAATTTTCAAATATCCACAGTATACTTGCAAAGCTATATGCTCTTTCATTATTGCTGTAATCTTGATTCAAGTTTGTTTTTAATGTTCTATAATATAGAATCAGTTTAGAATTCATTTTTATAGTTGTACAATGTCCAATCGAGTAACAGTTTTATTCATAGTTGCCGAAATATTTATCAGAGTGAAGTCCTACTGTTTGCAATATGTTGACGCATAATTGGGTAAGTAGTAATGAAGTCCACTGATTTACATGGATGTGGTATGAATAATCTTGCTATTTTGTAATGTTTCAGAAATGAAGGTTTTAGTAGATCGTGTAGTAATATTCAGAGCTCAGAACAATATCTTCGTACTGTGATTCTCGATCTTAAAACATGTATCTGAAATTATAATGAAACTTCAGCTTGTTAAGAATGTTTTTGTCTTAATGAACGTTGACCATAGTGACACCAAAAAATGTAAACAAAATCTAGCATTATTTTAACTGTTTTTTAAACGTTACTATCAATATTTTTTAAGTTTCTTTGATACTCGCATAGCTCAATTCAGAATGCCATGCAAAATGTATTTTGAATGTACTTTTATAATTGCTAACACGAAAACATACAGGGTACCCTCTTATGTGTACTAGTTTCTAAATGCAGAAAATGAATAGTTGGTTCTATCATGAAACAAAGATTAGGAACTGAATCACCAGTATCATGTGATATAGCAGAGTTCCTATGTCGACCTGCGCATTTTGTTCTATGTGGTAACCAATGTCTAGCATAAAAACAAATAAACATTATAATCGACTTTCATCTGATCTCAGAGTCGTATCTCGATTTCATATTTCCAGCTGACTATTGGCAATTTTTTGATGAATCGTTAGGTAAAATGTCGCGTATTGATTTATCAAGTCTACAAGATTTAACGATTGAAGAAAACTTCGGTAGACACATGTGTTCGAGTTCGAGTGGAATGTTGCTCTGACTATCTTGAGAAAACTATAAACACAGGCAAATATTTCGGTACGGAAACAAGATGAATGAATGCCCAAAAACTTTATTAAACTATTTAATTCGCGAGTGAGACAATATTGTTATGATGAATAAAAGCATAATATAGAAAGTACTGATTGTCTAGCCGTATGAAAAGTCTTGAATCATAGTTTATTACGAATTCTATCCACCAACATTTGGTTATCTTTTACTTCCTTATCATCAGGACCAAAAGCTAGACGAGCTGTTTCGACAGAACTCTCGGCATGTTTAAGAGCTGCCTCGTGGTTTTCAAGTTCTCGATGCATCAATGCTGCATTGTAGTACGTAACTGACATCGAAGAATAATTTGGTGAAGGTAATGTTTCTTGAATTTTGAGTGATTTCTCGTAAAACTCCACTGCAACGGATTTGTTTCCCATAGATGATTGTATCGAACCAATACTGTTATAAAGCGGAGCCAATGATGGATCATTTGAAGGAAGCTTCTGGACTCGAATCGCGAGTGCCTTCTCGTAATATGTCAGAGCGTGTTTTTGATCTTCGATCGCTTTATAAGCGACAGCAATATTATTATAGTTGGTTGCTAATTCGAGACTATCTGCAGAGGAAGATTTTTCTTGGATTTCAATTGCTTTATTGTAAAGTTCAATGGCATTAGTGTAATCGTCTTTTGAATAGTATATAGATGCCATACTCGAATAAATTGTTGCTAAAGACGGATCATCAGCAGCTAGCGTTTTCAGTCGCACTGTGAGCGATTTTCGATAGAATATAAGAGCATTAGATTCGTCATCCATGGAACTGTATGCCACAGCAATGTTGTTGTAGTTAGTCGCTAATTCAGGGTTATCTGCAGGGGGGGATTTTTCTCGAATTTCAATCGCTTTCTTGTAAAGTACAATTGCATTAGAGTAATCTTTTTTTGAGCTATGTATAGATGCCATACTAGTATAGATTGTTGCTAAGGACGGATCATTAGCAGCAAGCGTTTTCAGCCGCACTGTGAGCGATTTTTGATAGAATATAAGAGCATTGGCTTTGTCATTCATTAATTTATAAGCGATGGCAGTATTGTTGTAATTAGTGGCTAATGTGTTATCATCGACAGAAGATGACTGCTCACGAATACCCAGTGCTTTGTTGTAAAAAGAGACTGCACTAGAATAATCTTGGATGTCATAATATGTTGAGGCTATGTTGCTGTAGGTTGCTGCCAAAACTAAATCATCAGAAGGCAATTTGTTCTCTCTAATAGTAAGTACTTTCTGATGGAATGAAAGTGCTTTATCATAATCTTTCATAGAATCATATACCAGTGCAATATTATTGTATGTAGTCGCCAAATCACAATCATCTCGTGTGAGTGATTTTTCTTTGATTTCAAGCGCTTTTTCGTAATATAAGAGCGCCTTTTCATTATTACTCATTTCATGATAAGTTAAACCCATGTTACTATACGTTATAGCCAAATTACTGTCCTTCACATTAGGCGATTTGCTTTGTACGGCAAGTGCTTTTTCAAAGAACAAGAGAGCTTTAGGGAAATCTTTCATCGAATGATGTGCTGACCCAATTTTATTATAAGTTGAAGCTGCTGCCTCTGACTGGCTATGTTGAGAATTTTGTTCACAGATTTCTAGTGCTTTTTGGTGTAAGGATAGAGCCACCAAATAGTCACCCTTGGATTGATGAACTAAACCGATATTGTTGTATGTAGTAATGAGTGATGGGTGGTTTGAAGGTAGGCATGTTCGTTTCATTTCGAGTGACTTTTCATATGACGATAAAGCGTTGTCTTTGTTTCCCATAGAGCTGTAGATCGTACCAAGGTTATTGTAACTAGTGGCTATATCAGGATGGTTTGGGGGTAGTGAAAGTTCCCGAATTTCGAACGCTTTTTGATAGTATGACAGTGCAGTTTGCTTCTCTTCCATACAACTATAGACCGAGCCAAAGTTATCATAAGTGCTCGCTAGAGCTGGATGTTTTTCTGGAAATGCTTGCTTTTGAATTTCCAGGGCTTTTTCGAAACATGAAAGTGCTTTAGGATAATCCTCCATCGAATTATATACTGAACCGATGCAATTGTAACTGCTAGCTTTATCTGGATGATTAATAGGAAGAGATAGCTCTCGGATTTCAAGAGATTTTTGATAATATTCCAGTGCCTTCGATTTGTCACCCATCGAACTGTGAACAGATCCGAAGTTGCTGTAGGTTGTAGCTAAAGTTGGATGCTTTGGAGGAAGATATTTTTCTTCGATATCAAGTGCCTGTTGGTAAAATTTGAGAGCAGTTGAATAATCTCCCATTTCTTGATGTAGCCCACCAATGTTACTATATATTGTACCGAAATCTGGATGATTAGGCGGCAGTGTTGTCTGTCGAATTTGAAGTGCCTTTTGAAAAAATGAAAGTGCACTCTCGTAGTCCGCTAATGTTTCGTATGCTAAACCTATGTTGCTGTAGGTTGTAGCTAGTGTAGGGTGATCAGATGAAAGAGCCTTCTCTTCGATTTCGAGTGCCTTTTTGTAAGATGACAGTGCAGATAAATAGTTTCCCATCGAGTTCTGTACTGTTGCTATATTATTATAGGTCACAGCAAGTGAAGAATCGTCTGGAGGAAGAAAATCTAGCTCGATTTTGAGTGTCTTTTCATAGTATGCCAGTGCAGCTTTATAATCACCTTTCTGACTGTAAACATAGCCTAGCTGATTATTGACATGAGCATGTTTTCGCCAGTGCTTTTCATCGGTTGAATCAAGTTGCGGTGTATATAATTCTTCAGCTTGATTGTATTCTCCCATTTTAAGCATCAAGTGGCCCAATTGTTCTAGCGGGGTACTGCCGTCAATCTCTTTTCGAAAGTAATCGGTAAGCATTTTAAGTTGTTGATCATTATCGTTTGTTAGAACTAAATTTACTTGAAAAAATCGATCACCTGTCTCTTCAACTCCCATTATCCTGAAGACGGTATGCATTGAGAAAAGAACTTCACTTTCATCTTTGTATTTACTTTTTTCATGCAGAAAAGCAAATGGAACCGATGACGTTTTCGGATTGATTTCCATTTGAAATACTATTGCGATGACATTCGGGTTACCATGTGCTTTCTTTGAGAACATCAAAGCAGTTTTGGGGTCAAGTGTCGTCGACAAGAAATTATTGAACGATAGAAGACCGCCTTTTCCCATTCTTACTTTTTCAAATTCATCAGGCATCATACCTTGTCCTCGATAAACAATGAATTCTTCTTGGTTATTTGTAGTTTTTGCATGCATTTGTACGATTTGTTGATGAAGATCCTGCGCAAAGAATCCCATTTTCAAAATAGCTTCAGTATCTTGTGTTCTCAAAGCTCGATTCAATGTTGAATACAGAAAAGATTCTTTCGTATACCAATGAACTACAATATCTTTAATATAGTCTTGGTCAAATTCATCAATAAGACCCAATTGAAGAACATTATCCGCATATTTAGTACGACAATATTCAACTAGTTTACTCTTTGCTGTATAGTCATGATCCATTTTAATGAGAATCTCTTTAAGTAATTGGGTGTACATAAATGATTGATCTAATTCATTTTCGATAGCGTCAGGCACATCTATTCGACGAAATACGCTAATAGGGGTTAAACCACCAATAAGACCAGTGTCAAATTTGATTGCTTGAAAAACATCTTCCATATCGAATAAGATTTTTTTAATTTTTGCTGACCATTTATTTGCCCAAAGTAATCTTTGTCGTTTCACTTGACTGAATATGTAAATGCATTCAAGCTGTGGTTTATCGAAAACAAGTGGTACAAGCGCTTCACCCAAAGTGTCCGATACAATTAGAAATACTTTTTTGTCAACGAAACTATCTAGATAATTGATGCATTGCTCAGTATTAGTACATGTATAGATTGAAGTTGTAATTCGTTCTAGTTTAGTTATAGCAGCATGATATAGTGGTTTTGATTTATCGAAATTAGAATCCGCCCAAACGATAGCAAACTGTTGATTGTCTTCATGATCTGAATGTACCGAAGGACTTTTAACTTTCTGCTTAGGACTCGATGGTTTGATACTATGGGAACTTATTTTTGATACGCCACTTGCAGGTCTTGACTTTAGATTTGGTGAAGAGTTCGTTTGTGGTTGCACGTTATTATTTTGTGCACTAGGTATTCTGGCTTGTTGATTATTCGTGCTATTATTTCGTGCGCTAGGTATTCTGGCTTGTTGATTACTCGTGCTATTTTCAGATGCATTTTGAACAGGAGGAATAGGGACAACCGAACTATTTCCACACCCCATCAAGTTAATAACAGCAACAACAATTTATTAAGTATTCTGCTGCGACGTCTACTATAATTTCAAATGTCTGCTTTCTATATTTTTCTTCTTCCTTGTAACGCATTCTTTTTATAAAAGAATTTTTCTTAATGCAATCTCGAGTATTGTTTTTTTGAAACTATCATGTTGAAAATTAAAGACAGAACGAGAGAAGCCTTGAAGATGTTGAGGGAAGCCGCTGTCATAGAAGGAATGAGTAGGTTATGAGATTTGAAACATTGCGCATACGCATTTGCAAACATTCTTTCTTTTTTCTTTTAGTCATGAAATGTAGAATTTCGTCGAAGTATTTCAATTTTCTTCCAAGATCATATATGGGGTATGGGCATGGGTGTGTGGGTGTGTGGGTGTTTTGCGGTCACAGATTCACCACACCCCACACCCACACCCACACCCTCAAGTTATAGCTACACCCTCACACATAACTTGTGCAACAGTAAAAGAGATTTTGTTGATGATATACAAACAGTAATTATGTGTTGCACAGAAACTATCGAGTATTTTTGCTTTTGGGGGATGGCGTCTCTCGGTCCTGGGGGGGGGGGGGGGGGGGGGGGGGGGGGGGGGGGGGGGGGGGGCTGGCGGGCCCCGGGCCACCCCCCCCCCCCGTTCCATGTAACTAAAAAAGCATGAAATACTCCATTCAAAATACTTTAGTATACCAGTGATTGACTTTCAAATATTTTACTTAAATACAAAAACGAAAAGATTCATGAAAATTAGCACACTTTTGACAGAAAATACTATGCAGTACAATCCTATGTTGAAAATCAAATTATTTTATATGAGCTTTTTCATTCTTGGGCAGAAATTTATCGATGAGGCGCTCAAATGGTTTTTCGACGAAGATGTTCCAAACAGCTGCTAGAACGAGACATATGATGAGCACCAATAAAAGGCATATGAGGGTTAAACAATCGATTGAAGTTTGTTTAGAATTAAATAGATTACTATTAGACATAATCAATTCTAAGCCGATCCGAAAATGAAGAATGTACACAAGATAACTTAATTTAGCAATTGGTGTCCACAAACGAAGCGACAAAAATGATCGAATCAGTGAACTATGATAGGGATGAGTAGATGGGCATAGAGCACAGAAGAGAATGAATGCTTGTGATGCGGCAAATAATTGTCGAATAATTGATAATGAGATTGTAAGAATTACGTCATTGATTTCATCAGGTTCGACTATCTGCGTCAACATGAAAATTAATAGTGAAGTCAATGTAAGATATAAATATTTTTTCATCTTTCCATAAAAAATAACACTGGAATTTTTGGCATGCATGAAATTAAATGCTAAAATGGATCCTATGACAAAACTAGAATATCTTCCTGTGACCGGCATATAAAACGTTTCCATATATGGTTTCATCGGACTTGGTTCAATTGCTTTCTCGAATCCCAACGTAACATTATATTCACTAACAATCCAATCGAAAATCCGTTGCGGCGTAAATAATGCAAGTGTATTATAGCGATAGTGAAGTGTCGTCAAATTCATAGTTTTTGGATTAAAGACTACTAGAGAATATATGATTGATAAAATCACGAGTATATATAACACTGAGTAAGTTCGTCGATAATTAGACGTAGAACTAAGAATTATATATAAAATGATCGGCAAAATTATATGTATTTGCATATCGAGACTGACACTCCAAAGAGCAGCATAACCAGGTGACCAGTATTTTAAATCAATCTGATTTTGATAAAATAACCAAAAACTCATCCAATTACCTTTCGGTTCACCTAGTACTAGCATTACAATAGTAATTAGTAAAATACCTGGCCAAAAGCGACAGGCTCGTCGAAATATATAAAATAAATATCCTTTCCAAGTTAAGAAATAATTTTGCTCAATACATTTCAGTGTCAGAAGAAACCCTGATAGAACAAAAAATGTTTCCAATGCTAATCCTAATAATGATAAAAGTCGAAATGAATAGGTTTTCATGTAAATCACCCATTCATGAGTAGGATAAGGCGTAATAAATAAATTTAAAAGTGTGATCATATGAACCGCAATAATCATTAAACATGATATTGATCGTAATCCATCAATCGGAGCCAATTTACTCTTTTGAAACAATGAATAAAAGTCATTCTTCAGCTGCCACATGTCTTCAATGTTAAGAAGCTATTCAATAGCAACTTACAATGTTACGTTACTATAAGAAGAAAAAGAAAAAAAAGAAGAAGAACGAAACTCGATGTGAGCTACCATAACAAAATGCCTTAACGCGATTGTGGTGGCAGTTGAATTGGTTGATTTAAGAACAAGCTCGGCAGATGACGTACGTAGATGAAGAGACAACAAGAAATTCATATCATTCTTGAACTTTAGGTGTGCATGCAAACACAACAGATTCCGAAGTGATAGAGACACAGCACCTCCAATGCTTGGTCAGAAAAACAATAAAGAAAAATCAGAATGTCGATTTTCATAACTATCCCATAATCAGATAAGCATGCAATGATTCCAAACTCTCTTCCAGGATGTGAGCCACATTCTTTTTGAAACAAAATATTTTTATTTTATTTCGAATTAATACGATCATGGGCTAAAGAGTTTCTATCAGTTGTATTTAACTCTTCATTTTTATAATGCTTGGATCTGACGACACGTTGAAATCAGTCAGTAGCAGTGGTGATTAAATAGAACTCAGCGCTTGCATGTTGTGCTTCTTTGAAATCAAAATAATCGCTGTTTTTCACAAAATGGTGAGTCTGCTTCGGAGCTTACGGTTGGTTATCATTTACCATAAATCGCCATCCCCAGATACATCCTTAAATTATATCCCTATATGTGGATGATAAAAAGAATATTATCCCTACTGGTGACCAAACAGGGATTTTTATTTAGGGATTTTGTTTTGAAAATAAGATATGCCGTATACATCATTATTCAAAACCAAATTCAACCGTGCTGAAACGTTTTCTTTCATCAAATCCAGCTGGTGCCACGAAACCCACAGTACTAGAAAACACATTCTGGCGACCAGATAGAGAGTTATCAAACGGAGAGATGCCAGTAGAGAGATAAGATTGAGGCGCTTTTAGGATTCTGGTGACCAGAATATGTGTGCTGTTTTCGTGGCACCACCCGTCTTTGATGGCAAAAAGATTTTCAGCAAGGTAGAACATGATGTTCAGTCATGATGAATACAATATATCTTACATTCAAAACAAAATCCACAAATTGAAAAGTCTCTAAATCAAAAACCCTATTTGGGGGGTGTGGGTGTGGGTTACTCACACATATCATCGCTCACACTCACACCCACACCCCGTCGTGAGCGGTGTCGGATACCCGATAATAGTGCTTTCCGTAAACCATTTATTTCAAAATTCTATGATAACTCATGTAATGATATTTTCATATTTAAAACAGCACGGGAACTAATTTGTATTAGACAATTATCTATAATAGTTTTATGATAGAAAAAGTATGTGAATTACACGTACGAGTAATACAACAAACCATATTAGTTGCTGAATCTCATCGTATCACTCATCTACACATAGTGTTCTGTAATGTATCAACTATGTTAATTAGTGTGAGAATGTGATTGACAGATACAATGAATCGAAAGTAAATCATCGTTGAGAGTAGGAGCCGAAAATAACACTTTATTTAACTGATCAATTTTGATTAGCGAGTGAATTCATGGGAAGTATACTAATTTCTGGAATACAGGGCAATCTTACCGTTTTGTATCATTTTTCAGGGCGAAAGCCTTTTCTCGATTCTGACTATGTAGTGAGATAGGATGTAGTCGAAAATAGTCTGTGCGCGGGAAGAAAAAAATTGATATCGAAAGTTTGAAGATCCAGTAAGTTTGGCTATACGCAAAAGCTGAGTTGTTCCCAAAGAATGAACTAGATCTCCAAACTTTAGGTACCAGAGTTGTTTTCTTCCTGCGCAAAGACTATTTTCGCTGCATCGTAACTCACTAGACGGTTAAAATCGAAAAAAAGACTTTCGCTCAGAAATATGGTACACTTGGCATGAATTTAGCCTAATAAAACAATTCTGTACCAAAAGACATCGAGTTATGCATAGTGACCATTATCGAGGGTAAATACCTTTAAACATGTTTTTTGTCTGTTCGTGTGACTTAAAAAACAAATCAACTTATCTCGTATAGATTTGATTTCAATTTCGGCAATCTGGCCTAATCAAATGCATTATAACACTGGTTATTTGCTCCCAAGAACATTGGTGATGAAGAAAGTGATATCAGAATTTTATTGTGGAAAAAATATCGCTGTAAAAGAAATATCTTGAGGGCGGGGGTGGGCGGGCTTAGGAAGTTCAGCGAGTCGGACTGAACTAAGTTTGAATCGGGCTGGGCGGGCCTAAACAATTCTTGGACCAGGCCGGGTCATGAAACAGTGACTCGTTCCGATCCCTGGTCTACACATTCAAAATTGACGAAATATGAGCAAAAAGAGCTGCACTTTGTAAAATCATTTTCTCCGCAACCACTCATTAGACACCGCTAGGTTTTTCAGAAGTAGTACATCTAAGTGCAAGCTTCAATTTGAGATTAGGCCGACCAAAATCAGAGAGGTTTTAGTTGAGTTATGAGTAACCCCAAAAACTCATTTTTTAAATAAAATGCTATAAAGGTACTAAAATCAACGTAACAGTAAATTGGATATATCTCAGGTTCCGCATCAGCTAGAGAGCTGCAATTTTCATCATTAGCATTCTTTGGAAGTACTCTACAAACCAAGAAAGGTCGCATCGCTGGCGTTTTACATAGATGTAAACGTGGTATGTTCCTGGTGAATGCCGTGTCCTATCATTTATTTGTGAAGTTTAGAAATATATCAGAGCACATAAAAATATTTTTAGTTGAAGTTAACAAAAAGTAGTGGCTTCGAATATTCTAATATTCTTTGATATAAATTATAAATAACTTCTATACTCAACGCTAGGACTATTAAATTAATAAAAATTCCAAATGCAATATTAGTTCTGATATCTACTAGTGGCGAAGAGCTTTTTCAAAGATGATGCGTGATATTTTATAAACCTGCTAATTGACAAACTTCACTTTGACTCAATTCTCTACTATACAAATAAAAATCATCTATGGCTCCTAGGTATTGACCAGTGTTCTGAATTGATCCAGCTGCACACGTTATACCATTCAAGACTGTTCCTAATGTTAAATAATTTTGTGCTCCAGAAGCTGCATAAGACGTAGCACTTGTCACATTGGCGTACGAATAACCATTTATGTAGAGACATAGGCCATTTGTGGCAGACCATGTTTGAACAATGTGTGTCCAAAATGGACTTATTTGCAGGATAGGACCAGTAACAGAAACAGTTGTATTTGATGAAGTCCAAACGTTAGCAATAATTTGGCCATTTGATGAAAAACCAAGAAAGGTTAGACACCAACTTCCTAATCCTTTAAAAAGATTCAAAATATATAGAATTCAATCGATGACAATCGTGCAAAAATAAAAATACAACAACACACTCACCACTCGCTGCTGAGGAAACGTGAACCAATGGACCACTAGTTGCTGTCGGTTTCACTCGAATTGCAACTGAAAAGGCTTGATTACTAATACCCAATCCAGTTATGCTTGATACTTGAAAATAGGCACCTGTTGTGCTTAATTGTAATGCATTACCAGTGTATCCACTGACATAACTAGTACCAGAGTTGGACAAACTTCCCACTAGTAAATTTGGCCCTTGATCTGTAACTGAATTCTCAAATGGATAGAAGAAAACAAGAGTAGCATCTTGTAAGATTTCACAGGCTGTTTTAACACGTGTGGCTATAGTGAAATGATCAAGATAACCACTATAATAAACTTGTGCAGGAGAGCTACCACCAATAGGACAACTACCAACGCTGACAACCCGATTAGCTACATTTAGATAGCCAGTGTTTGTTGTGGTAGCAGATATATATCTAAAGAGAGAAAGTGTTACAATACAGTAAAATTGTATTAAAGTCTATCTACATAATAAATTAATAACTGAATGCTAGAATTAATACCAGATATTCAATAAGGTTTAGTCAGTTTAGCGCATCAAATTTGTTAACAAAATCAATTCTTTTGGTACTTTCCTGTTTTGATCCCCAACATTTACTCTCACCCTCAAGATGTAATACTTAATCTTTTCAATCCAATAATTAATTTTATCGAAATTTATTAGCAAGTATCTTACCAGAAATCTCGTTAAAAAACTTTTGGGGGTCAAAACAGGGAAGTACCATTGTGGCAATCGGCTTTTTTTAATTTTAGCATTTTAAAATGTCTTACTGGCTCGTTTAGATCTTACGTAACACTGTGAAATAAAGTATTAATTAATTGTGCTTACGGCAATCAGTCATTAATGATACAGAGAATAACCCACAAATTTTTATTATGAAGTGAGAAAGAAAAAACTAATTGGTGGTAAAATAATCAAGCGAAGGTTTTTTCTGAGTTTTCTACTGATCTTTTGACAGAAATTCGATAATAAAAAAGACTGCTCACCCATTCAGATAAATGTGTCTAATTCGATTCGTGTAATCAAATACCCATGCAACGTGATACCATGTATTTGTTAAAATAGTCGTCGAACCACTTGTGTCATCACCATAAAAACCAAAGCACAATAAATTATTTTTTGTTTGTAGAAATAGTTCCATATCATAACTACTTGAAATGGTTTGTTCAAAGAAACATGAATTAACAGTTGTGCTTGCGCTCATTAGGAACCAAAATTACATTGCCCATGATAATTGATAAAAGTTCATTGTTTGACTGGAAGTTAGACGTTGTGAGCTGGCATAAATGAAACTAACGGCATTGTTCACATAACCAGTAACAAATGATTGATAAGTGCCACTTAGATTATTGGAAAAACCACTTGAATCAGTGAAAACTGAATCAAATGTGTAGAAAGCAACAAGTGATGTGTTAGATATTAAAGTTGAAATGCAACTTGAATTGCAGAGTGAAAGGGCTGTTGAAGTCGTGGTAGTAGTAGTAGTAGTCGTGGTCGTAGCGGTTGTCATAGTAACTGAAAAAAAACAGGTACGAGCTTACGTTTTCAGGCTAGGGATGCACCAATTCCAATTCCAATTCTAGGTTTGGAATTGGTGCGTCCCTATTTCAGGCAAGGGGGGAAAAGCGGATCCTAGGACCCATCAGGATTCAGGATTCGTTTTTCCCCTATTGGATCAAAGTAGCTATATACGATTACACATATAACGTTTCGATTGATAAACACAATTTAAGAAAAATCAGTCATCAATTCTGTATCTAGCGAGTTCATTCAGAAAATAGTGAGTCAGTATGGACCTTCTCATCGCATTCCCAGACATGTACCCATTTCCAAACTGTATTTATGACCCATCATCATGTTTTATGGGCTGCATCGCCGCCAGGTCTCCTTCCTTTCTTTATCATAATCTGTAGGATATTTCATTGTATGGTTTTTCCTTATGTTACCGCCATATATTTAGTCACTACGTTGTTCAGAAGACGGTTGACACATAGAGATATATACAGAAATAAAATACAATTGAGGTTAAGATCTCATGCCATACTTTTCCCGATAGATCGAATGCGTGAATTCTAAGCCGAAAGTTTGCCAGTTAGTACGTCTACTGACTGAAAAAATACCTAGAAAGTTTCAACTCAAACAAAACTATCCTCTCTAAGATATTTACTTGACGACATGCGCTTCATGTATCCAAAAGAAAATAGATTTATTATTAGTTGAGTATTTTAAAGATGTTACTGTCATTTAAGCTGAAATTTCAGTCCAAACTGGCGCATTCGATATTTTCTGTTTAGGAATCATATAAATAAAAAAAAATTTTAAGGCTCGAAAATTGTTATCGTTCTTTATATAGCAATACCCTGAATATAGCTAAAAAGTAATGAAACAATTGAAAACTTTTCTTTGTCAGATGGGATAGTTGGTCAGTCAATGAATGCGAAAGCATGTCACAGTTTTATACAAGATATGTCATATTTAGATTAATCGAATTCGGGTTAGTCTAACTGTTTCAGTAACCTTAAAAATTAGTATTTATTAATATTCAACGCAAATTCTGCAAGCATATTTTATACTTTGTGTTGATAAGTTTTTCAGGTAAATGGTGAGCACTGCTGCCAATCCAACTCCAGCTACCAGTCCTCCGATAAGACTCCCACAAAGGAATGCTTTGCTACTGAACACACTAATGAAATAAAGCAAAAAAATATGGTAAACAAAAATATGTATATTGAAGTAAAAAGAATCAATGAATTCATTACTTTGTTGCTTTGCGTGTGCCATTATTCTTTGGGGAAGCCTTACGGCTATGCTTGCTGAGCTTTGGAGATGACCCTACATTCCAAACACTGGGCCCTGGGAACATAGCTTAGCGAACGATCAAAGCTGACAATCTAACTTGAGTACTTGAATCTATTTTCACTGGTGAGAAATGAGTGAACTCTTGATAGCTCGTTGCAAATAAGTTAAATACTGACGAGTTTTGTATTCTTCTTTTATTGACTGAAAAATAAGAGTATTAATTTTGCAGCTAAAATTTTGGCACAGGCTTCGGGATGCGATTTTTCTCACTTCTGCCAATGACAATGTAGAATGCATCGGGACATCATTCAGGATAGAAATGTATATAAAAAGTCAACACAAGGACTCATTGCTATTCATGACTCTGTCGAACTCTCAGAATAAAAACTCAGTTAAGCATTTTTATGTAATCGAATACTTTTTTAATTAAATTCTTCTTTTTTTATTACTTTCTATTTTTTTTACGCTACCATGTACCACTCGAAAGCGCGTACATTATGAAATAATATTAAAAAAAGGAAGAGTTTTCATAATTATAAGCTACAATGTCAGTGCAAATGGTTATAAATTGTCTACTTTTATCTTCATATACTGAATACTCAACCGGCGTGTGGGATAGTAAAACAGAAGGAAGAGAGAGAAAGGGGAAAAGGATGTGGCTGTTTATTTTCTGTTCACATGCATCCACGCCCTTTTCTCATTGGTTCCATGATATTATAGAAGTACAATCCTTATTTTCTTATTTTCTGCTCGACACTTGACAACTCATCATGCCTTTGTAATCTACAAGTAACGCGGCATAAGCGCCGCTGACTCTCTACTGAAAGGATCTTATTAGATGACCCAGACATGTGGTAATGATCATCCCAAGAGAGTCATTCCGAGACTAGGATCCTATCAGATTCCGACAAGGGTCAGACCGTGAATATACCAAATATCCATGGAATCCAATAAAACCAACGTAATCCTATAGGATTCCGGGATGAGGACCTACAGTTGGATCCTTGGTGTAGGAATTCCATAGGATCCAGTGTTGGAAATTAACGGAATCCGACATGAACATATGACCCTGGTGTTCTTATGAGAAAATGTGTTTTTCCGTCGGAACCGACAATCAATCCGTAACCCGGAATCCCATCGGATTCTGTTGGGTGATAGGATCCGTCATAGGATTCATTCACCTGGGTAGATGAATGTACGGGGATTTGAGTATGAAATTAAATTAAAATAGTATGAAGAAATCTAGTTTCTTTACGGAATAAATAAATTTAATTTTTATACTCAAATTAATGTTTTTAAAGCCCAACTAATTAATCGCACTTGCTTATAAATTAAAATATATTTGTCGAAAAAATTATAAAATCTTCTTAATTTATTTTTATTTAATTTTATCTAAAGTAATTGTGTTTCGGTAAAAGATAATTTTTATTGATACATAAAATTAAAAATTCGGAGTAAAAATTGTATTAAATAACATCTTAGAATGATCATGAGTGTGTAGAATATGACTTCACGATCATATGGCTCAATGGTTCTGGCGACGGGTAAGTGTCACATTGTATACATGTTCGAATCTAATCTTCATCCTTACATATTTTCATTCAGACTAGTCCAGACTCGTCCACTATATAAGGCTACAGCTAGTTGTNCGACTTGACTAGATAAAAGACTAGTCATTTAACCAGTCTTTTGCTCACTTGGGTCCTTTTGTTTAAAAATCTGTTGTTGATAATCATCAATATCATTTTCTTGTATAAATATAAATGTATATTATTCGTTTATGATAGTTTCAGAAATTTTTCATTCGAAAAATGAAGTTGAGTAAAACTATGGATTATATACTGTCGATTTAAGATACAATATTAAATATAAAAATATATATTTTCATCGTATTTCTATGTACTTATGGTATACTTATGAATAGGATTTCATTTCATATCCGGACAAGTTAACTATCTTAAAAGAACTACTTCTTAAATAACATGCTGGCTTCGTTTGTGTTAAAACATTTTGTCTAAATACTTGCTTTTTTAGACAAAGAAATTGGTTTTACAGGCGATAATTAATTTGTGTGAATTTATACTGAAGAGCACGTTTCTGATTAAAAAGAAAGCATTCAAATTTAAAATTCGAATGTCAAACGCACGATGAAAAAAATAAGAGCACTCTCATATGTGATCAACTTAGAAAAATTTAACACTTAATAAACCATTCATAAAAAAAATGTCTTTATCAGCAAATAGGTTTTCGATGTATTTTTCGTTGTTGATGACGTACTTAAAAAGAAAGCTAACTTGTCAGACCCTGTTAATTTTTTCTTCGTTTAAAAAAAACGGACTGTTAAGATAAAACAATTGACTATCAATTAGTCAACTAATGAAAAGACAGTTACCAATAAACTGGTTATACTATCAATCGTCAAATTGATCACATAATCAATTATCAAACAGAAATTGTTATTGTTATTTTCCTTTTTCTTTTTCTTCCGTAGAATAACATGTAAATATAGGTTATTGTATTCTATGTAAGTCATTCAATTCAATCGGCCAGTAGATAATAAGTAAGCATCTATTTTAAAAATAATGTATTTACTTTTCAGGGGTGTTACATTACAAATCACAAGGTTTAACAATGCATTACAATTACAATGAAATTATTATTATTATTATTATTGCTTTTTTTTCTCATAACAACTCTTCTTAAAAAGCTGACACTGACCTATTCATTTTTCTCTCTTTAGAATATGTTCTCATCTATCAATGGCAACCCACCAGCCCTGATATCAAAAATAAAAAAATGTAGGTATAAAACATAACAAATTAATCTTTTTGTTTCTAAAACTGTAGAGGTGCTATAATGATATCAAATTACAATGCAATTATAACTTGTTTTTTCTGTTTTAAATAAATTCGAAAGAAAATCACCTACTTATAATTTCTTTTCATTTAGATTGTTCACAAAAACTATTCGACGAAATTAAAATTAAATTAAAAACTAAAAACTAAAATGAAATGAGATGAGACGAGATGAGAATGAGCGATTGAGTTGAGCCGAAAAAAAAAATTATTATTCCGGACGAAATATTAAAAGTTAAAATTTACTTTTAACGCAAAAAAATACAAAACAAAAAAAAGAAGAGCCACTCATTGTTACTAGAAACAGCGAAAGGGTGTAGAACGAGGAAGGCCTTTTCATGTACACGAGGCCACTGTCGTCGTATTTGTACGTCATATCTTGTGTACATTACCCTACCAGTCTGGCGTGATCCTCTCTATGTGTACCCGTTTCATGATCATGGAGGGCTCTTCCTGGTCACGCGTGTGACTATTAAATATTAATTAATAATCATTCAAACTGTTTTATTAAGCGAATATACTAGGGAAAATCAACATTTACAACTTCTTTTTCACTTCTTCTATACTATTCAATACAACTTGAATATTTGGATGTGTTTCAAGAAGTGACTTTCGAAAAATACTAAGTGCTTTTTCTAGAAGTGGAAGTGCTTTCGAGTATTCACCCATTCTGTAATACGTCGTACCAATGTTGTTGTAGCCAGACGCTATGTGAGGATGATTAGCAAGAAGTGATTGCTGATTGATTTTATTTGCTTTGTCGTAAAATTCAAGTGCTTTCGAGTATTCACCCATGTTGTCACACACTAGACCGATGTTGTTGTAGGAAGTAGCTAAATCGGGATGATTCGCAGGCAGATATATTTCCCTTAGTTTGCGTGATTTTTCGTAATACTCCAGTGCTGTCGGGTATTCATCCATGCCGTCATACACTGCACCGATGTTGTTGTAGGAAGTAGCCAAATCGGGATGATTCGCAGGCAGAGATATTATCGTTATTTCGAGTGCTTTTTCGTAAAATTCAAGTGCTTTCGAGTATTTATTCATGTTTTTATACACTAAACCGATGTTACCACAAGTAGAAGCCAATGAAGCATCATCTTCTGGAAGAGTTTTCCGCTTGATCTCGAGGTATTTTTCGTAGAATTTAACTGCTTTTGGGTATTTCCCTTGCTGGTGTTTCAAGCGTCCAAGTTGGTGATAGATATGTGCTCTATTGCTATTAGTAGAGGCATTCTTGAGTAATTCATTGTAGAGTTCCTCAGCTTGATCGAAATGACCTACTTGCAGCATCAATTTACCCATTCGATACCATCCTGTACCACTAATCTCCTGTTTAATACGATTGGTAAGAGTAGAAAGTTGTGGATCATTATCATCAGTAATAGTCAAGTGTACTTCCCAAAGTCGATTATTGTTAGGCGTCCGTTTAATTTCAATGACACGAAAAACAGTGTGCATTGTAAATAGTATTTCTTGTTCTGATGGAATAGCACTGTGTTCATCAATCATAGCAAATGGAGTATTCGAAGTTGATATGTTACTTTGATCAATAGTCATAATAAAAATAACGCCAACAATGTCTTGGTTATTTTTCATAGTACGTTCAACAAATTCCATGCCCACTTTTGGTTCCATACCGAGACTGTATTCGAAAAAATGCATGTAATTGAGTTATAGATTCATCAATATCTTCTTGAGTAATTTCGTCGATAATGATCACCTTGGTTCTAGTTTTTGCAATATTAAAAAAATCAGCTGCATTCTCACATTTATCCTTTTTCGTTAATATTTGTTGCCAAACAAGTATTTTAACAGTACCACCGACGGCATCAACCACCCCTTTGGTGTGGCTTTCAAATTTTCACGTAACGCTTTTGTTTTTGTGCGTTCGTGAGAGTCATTATGTTTTTATTAACACAATAAACGTGTAAGACTGACTTATGATGTCTAAAGGTGACTTAATTTACTGCGAAGTCTGAAATGAGAAGTATATAAAAAAACACTTTCGTGAGTGCGTTACCATTTTTTTCTTCCGTGAATACAGATAAATCACAACTAACTTAGCCCTTAGGTAGCCCATGAAAAGTAAGTGAAAATGTTGAAGTTATGAGCAACATGATTCGACAGTTATCGAGAAAAGTTAACTGTAAGCCCTTTTTGGTAACGCACTCACTCAAGAATTTATCAAGCTTTTAAGGCTTTCCTATTGTTCTATCATAAAGGCGTAAGAGCTATTATGAATATCAACGAATAGTACTAATATCGTAGATTGAAAAACATATGTCAAACTTCACTTGACATTTACTTTTAAACGTTTTTTTCTTTCGTTCTGTAACGACATAAAAATGACATAAATTCAAACATAATTGCCACCAACTTCTGGCGCTTGAATTTATCTTCTTTTCAGAACATAACAATTACGAAAAAGAAATCGAAATCTCGAAGCATATGATAGGTTCTAATAGTTTTCTTGGCAAATTGAAAATTTTGAGTGAAATTGTTTAATATTATTATCGCATATCAATCAAATCATTTTGAAAAGTAGAATCCGCTAAGTGTGAACATACCTATATTTGCATATTTGAATGCATATGCAACAGAAAAGTGCAATCATATGTGCCACACTATCCCAGAAAATATAGGTTTCTTCAAAGTGTAACTGTACAAAAAATAGATTTTCTACTGAAAAAAAAAGAAATATTCAGAAAAAGTAATACGACTTTTATTCAGCGTTTGACGAGCTATCAAAATACACATGTCGTTAATATAATTGTTATTTTTTTCTTGTTCGTCCAAGACCCAAATAGTTTTACAAACACTTTTTTCTTTTGTGTAGAGTAACACAAAACCTTTCATAGTAAACAAAATAGCGTAGCTAGAAATCCAGCAACTTCCTCAGAGCAAAGAGCTGTTCAAGTAACTAAATCGTCAAAACAATTTTCAGTCTTCTTGTTATCTTTTTCGTGAAAAGTAAGCAAACTTTTTCAAAAATCTCCTCTTCACTCACTTTGTACAGTAACATTTTGAAAATTATTTTACGTTTATCTCCCGATAGATTGAACCGATCTCGCTCGACTTAAATATGTATTAGGGAGCCATTCGACTGTCATGCTACCAACTTTACGGATAGAGATTATCAATCAGCCACGATGAATTATTACTTTAGGTATGGTAGAAATCATTTAATGTGGACATAATAGTTGTCATGAATTGCGATATTATATTATTGATTTAATGAAAATAACTAATACTCATTGTCTCCAAACTGATGATCTATTCAGTCCATGTTATCGGAATCTCCTTTCATTGCAGAAAATAGCGTTAGGATAGGAAAAAATGAAAATCTGTTAAGATTGCTAATATTGCAACTATCTTAAAATGTATGGATCCAGACGTATCTCGATCTCCTGACAGATGGTAGTTGGGAAAATTTCACCTCATACTAAGTAAACGATACTGAATACGATTCACACCTTAGATTTCTTCCCATTACACTTTCATTTGTTTTTGCTAATTGTACAGCAAAAATACGATTCACTCATATATAGGTTTGTAGACGGTCATAATCAATTGACATGACTTATTCACCTTTCTTATGAGCTATAGACTTTCTACATTGTAGTAAATATTTCTAATTCTTCAGTCTATCAAACAGAAAAAACAAATTTGAGTTATCTTTTAAATAGACTTTAGAAATTTCAATTTAATCTGTCGTGTCATAAAACGGTCAAAGTGTGGGTCTCGACACTTTTGCAATTTTTTGAGCTTTTATTCAATCAGAATTATAGGATCGATAGGTACCACCCAGCAGTTTTCATTTTAAACTTTCGTGTTTCAAAATTTCTTTAGTACTGAGTTAAAATAGTTGATAATTTTATGGTAAGTAGGACGAAACAAATGGAGCATTTGAAAAAAAGATTGTCCAAATTGGTTGAGTAGAAGTTGAGAGATAAGCTTTCTCGTGCTTCCAGAACCATCGCGCAATGCCAGCAAAATTCACTCATATATTCCCGTGAGAATAAGAATTTCATTTAAATGATTGTTTTTAAAAACTTTTAATGAAAAACATTTGTGATTTCAATTGTATGGCAAAAACCTCAATTACCCCTATTGATTATAGTCTATTCTCGAAAAATAAAAATAAATATAGTGTTATTTTCATTTCATGAATATTATTATGTGTCTAGAAATTAAATTCAGTACAGTTATCTAATGATATTCATATCATTTAAATGGTTATAATTTTAAATAATCATAGTTTCAATGTTTGTAAATGTGATGTCGAGAATAGAATCTGAATACGTGATAACAAGAATAATGTCGTGCGCTAGATCTAACTATGGTTACATTTGAATAAGCGACACTCATTTGAAGTGTTATACCAAATAGCACGACTATTTATATTCTTTCTGTCGTTAAGAACACCCAATAGAACTGTATTAAAAGGAGATATGTTCTCTCTTCTATTCTCAGAACAACAAAGAGCAACGAGAAGAAAAAGGACAGCATCCTCTTGAAATATTCACTACATCTGTCCATATAATAGATGTTTAGCTGTAATGCAGGATAAAAAACGCCACAAGTATCTCTAAAAAGACTTTGTTTTGTTCACAATGAAGTTCGGCAAAGTGTAAATTGATTTAAAAAAGGTGTACATGTTCCAACTGAATGATATAAAATATACGGAAAAAATTTCTGACATGAGGAGGAGAACAACAATTTCTCTACAATCATTGTCCATGTATGGTTCAAAAAGGAATGAAAAATTTTGAATAAAAAACGATTTCATTGAACAAAGGTGATTTCAACTGATTCTGTATCGATTAATATGATTCGTGTACGAGAGAAAATTTATATGTTCTTATAGTTCATATTTTTAGAAATTGAGACTTGTAAGTACTCTGTAAATGAAGTTCGAAAATGTGGAATTTTACTCAGGTCAACATCAATGATTTTATCTTGTTTTTTTTATGCAAGTCAACTTTTTCCATGTAGTTTTCAAGATTTTTGTTTCTAAATTAGGGAATGCCCTATAGTCATCATCATTTCAACTTTCATAGCATTTTAGTAAAGAATAATAATCTAGAAAAGTTTAGACTCCAGCACAGAAAATATCATCAAAAACAATTTCGAAACTTAGAAACGTTGTCTTGCTTTTATCGAGAAGATCTAACAGGTCCTGATATAGATTCAAATTAAAGAAAAACTAAAAATTTGAATATCACTCAAATGTAATATATTATAGATTATATATATAAATTAATTGAATAATTCAAACATTGCTTTTATTAAGCTTCAAATTGTTTGTTTTACCAAGAATTAGACATGACCAAATACATGGAAGATGTTATATTATAGATAATATTGTGGGTCAGCTAATGCTGAGAACATTGACAACATTAAAGTGAAGAGTTCAGAAAACGACATATTCTCAATAAGCTGTGAGAAAGGTAGCATGGCTTATGAATGATCTCTTACTTGTTGATAGGAAATTATTGAACGATAGTAGACCACCTTTTGAATCTAGTAGACTCTGAAAATCTTCTTTGCTCATTCCCTGACCACGATAAACGGTAAATGATTTCTTGAATTTAGTCGATTGTTCCTGATGCAATTGTTTCAGTTGAAGATGTAAACTTCGAATAAAAAAGCCTAACTTGGACATCGCTTCCATATCAAGCGATCGTAACCCCAATTAAGCATACCATAGAGAAAAATTTCACATGTATACCACCATACTGCTGATTTCTGGTGGTATTCACGCTTTAGTTCATTTATTTCTGCGTCAGGAATTTCTTTTTTTTTTGCAATAAATTTCTAAAGCCTTAATAGATTTGGCGTCATCATCATCGATTTTTAATACGATATCCTTGAAAATTACCGAGTACATATAAGTAGGCGGTAATTGGCTAAGATTTTGCACGTTCGATTCTGCATCTGTCGTGCATCGCTTCGGAACAAAGCTCATCGGAATTGAATCATGATCGCATTCATGGGCGACCTTTTTGAGTGATTCACATATTGGTTTTATTGAGGTGAATACACCTCGAATCTTTGGCCAATCGGTTGCCCATGCTTCATGGCGCGCCTTGTTGCCACAAAAGATGTAAATGGCATCCACTTTTGGCATACCATGAATGTCATTTACGAGGCTTTGTCCTAAAGCACCAGATGAAATGACGAAAGCTTTTCCATCGTCCATTTCATTGAGCAACTCGATACATCCTTCGGGTGTTGTGCACACATTCACTTCACTTACCACTACGCGCAATTGTGCCAGTGTATTCCGGCAGTCTTCGATGTTTTCATCGATGTTGCCATCTACCCAAATAACCAAATAATTTTGAGCCATACGACGCCTTAGGCGCATGGCACCTGATGATACAGTTGATGTCAGAATAGTTGACTTGGATTGTTTTGCGTCCATAGTGAGCAGTTTCTATTACGTGATCAATAATCGAGAATCGTGAGAATTGTTCTGTTATTTAGGCAGTAACTATTGGTTCTATTGATATAGTCGGTTCCTTATCAGTAAATAAACAAGCAAACGAGGGAAAAACCAACATCGTCATTTTTGTAGTTTTACTATTTCCAATTCTCGTTTGTTTTTCATCCATAAGATAAGTTGAGTGAAATTGCGTTAGATGTCTTATCTTTTGTCTTGCTTATCATTGACTAACTCTTTCAGTATGCAATTTTTTCTTTATCTAACAAGAACCAAGAACACAAAAGTGTCGTTAGTTTAATTATTGTCCTTCTGTTTGCAGTGGATTTGCTCACGTTGGGAATAAAAACTCAACAAAAGGTAAATTGAATTGGCCTTAAGTAACACACGAGAATATCTCTATTTATTAAATAAGGTGCTGTCATACTTAAAAAGATCATAAATATGAAAGCAAATTTCTGAAAAGATGGAGAATTATATTTCGTCGAATTTCAGTGATGGATATGATTCAATTTAAAATATCATTGGTATACTTACTTTAAAAGATTTTAATACAAGAGATTTCTATGAAATTCAATGTCCATTTGGAAACATACACGAACAATGGAAATACAGAGTAGAATTATTGATTAGATATCATTCACATAACACATTATTAAAGTAATGAAGTTAATATATTATCAGATTAGATCTTACAGCAGTTACTAAAAAAATGACAGAAATCATATATAAACTACTCTAAAAAGTAATAAACTGAAAACAATGATTGAGATATCTTTATCTACATGTTGATTCAGTATTCTGTTTTGTTGGTGTGAATGCTATTCTTGATCACCATTATCGCCATAATCATGTGCTAAATGCAGGGGTAAATCAGGACTAGTTTGTATCGATTCTAATCCTGAACGACGACGACCATCTGAATCTATTTTTATCCTCCCATGTTTTAAAATGCATTGGTTGTTCAAGATTTTCAGTTGATTCGTGTAGCATTCAAAGACAAATCATAAATAATGATAAGATTACATAGTAATTGTGGAACGGGATGAAATAATATTAAAACTTCAGAAGCAAATCTTGTCAATTGAGAAGTAAAAATACATTTTCGATCAAAATGAAAGACTAATTCACCTGTTCGAAATAAAGAACCTATGAGACTAAAGTTCATACTACTTTCATAAATAAGTAATATAATATTTTTATGTTAAGTATAGACAAGGGAACCTTTCCAAGTCTAAAATTTAACTTTATTCATTCAATAGATCTTAGTGAGCAAATCAAAGTGTCTGCAATAACTCAATTTTCCAAACTTCGCTCAGATTAAACGATTCGATGGTGTTTATTAATGCTGGAAAGTTTCTGCTCCAACGATAGTACTCAACAATGTTACATTTACAGATACTGAAATTCTTTGGATTTCATGTCAATATGACATTTCAAATATGATGATGTATTTTTGGTTTGATTTTTGAAATTGTATCTGATTGATGATTCGAATTGATTCATTAATGCATGTATCTATAATCTTTCTAAAGTACTCAACTCAGGTACACAAAATTATTGTTCTTCATGCTCCTTTACTTAATTTAATTAAATCATCAATATACAGCACATTAATTTTTATTAAAGCTTGAAAAAATCTATCGATCTAGTAGCATTAACAATAGCTCATCCATATGAATATAATTCTTACAGACTATTTCTTTGAGTATAGTCTAATAAGAAAAGAAAGTATTTTTCTACATTCGCATTTCAAATAAATATTTTGCTGCTAAAAATAATTGGCTACTTTAGAAAAGTTCTAAATTGAAGATAAATAAATAATCGAAAATATGTGCTCATAATGAGAACTTCGAATCTTTGTTTTTTATCGTAACCAATAGCGATTTGAGGATTATTTGTGAAATTTAAAAGAAAACACGAACTAATACTCGAATAAGCTATCTAAAGTTTTTGCTTTATGTTAATCTGCGTATAGAGAATAGAAGTGTAATAGAAAAAAGGCAGTACAGTCTGATATATCTATTTCAAATAACCTGGAGTTTCAACGAATTAAAAGAGTGAATTGTAACTCTTTTGTGTTGAATACTATCATCACCGCGTATAAATATTTACTCGTATACAAGCCATGAATAGTAGTTAGAATATTAATTATTTTAATGTAGGTGATTTATAGAATGTTCATGTTTTAATTCATAGCATTACAATAAAATGTTATTCAATCTAATTGTAAACTTCAATGAGACCCGTGTGTTCTAATTTGGAAGTATTTTCGTATCGTTGATCTAGTTCACGTTTTATTTTTTATATTTCATATCTAAAATAAATTACTTTTGTACAGCATGATTCAATTGTTTTCTTCAGTTTACTGTAGTTTCCTAAAAGTGGTTACATTCAAGTTTTGCACGTTTATATTTTACTCAGACCAACATTTTTTCTAAGCTGGAGAAGAAAATAAAATTTTTCTGTTGAAATTTTCTATGATATCGAATGTATCTATAGAACTCGATAACTACAATAGATTCAAATTAGATAAATCAATACAGTAACTGTTGTTCTATTCAACTATATATTACTGAGAAATACTCTAATGATTGGATGACTACAATTTACTCGACGAAAATCATCGATTGAACTTTTGTCTGAGGAATAGAATGGACGACAAATGGATAATTCGATAGAAAACATGACAATCAGGGTGAGTGATCACAGTAAAAGAGTGATGAAAACAAATTCAACTTTTCTTTCAGTTTATCTTTTCATTGATCATATATATCAGCAAGTCCAATAAATTGCTTTAAGAATAAATTTTTTCGTCGTTTCTCTCGAATCGATTTCGTTGAATGAAAAAAGCAAGGCATTTCATTTCTATACAATATGCACACAAATATATCACGCAGATTCACATCTATATGCCATGACATATATGATGGGTTTAATGAGAATTTTACGTCACATATTACGAACATCAAGATAATATCTGACAGGATTTCTAGGGCAAACAGATTTGAAGTCTTCTTTTTCGTAGGAGTATCTATCAAATACTAGAAAACTAGAATGTTGCTTATAAATAAATAGAACATGCAGAATATCTGTATTGGTGCTATTGATTTCAACGATACTCTTTTCGTAAGAATATGATATCTTCATCATATGAGACAATTACTTGACTCTTTTACAAGAAACTGGCATAGCTGATGGGTATGGATCAAAGTTTAATCATAAGAAAGTTCTAGAGAATGACATTGGATATATGAAACTGTATGTCTCATAAGTAATAGTAAATAACGGAAATATTTATCTTGTACTTTTTTTTGTTGTTGATATGAATGTCTCTGGCTGTAAACTAGCGTCTAATATTAAAGAGTCATCCTTCAGACTGGTAACATATTGATTCTACAATACTACTTCTATTGAGATTAGCATTCATCGATGTCTTAAGATAGAAAAGTAGAAATACGGGAAAATATCAACGAATGCGACGTCCTATCTACTTTATTATTTTGTGAGATACTCGTAAGCTGCTAGGCTCCATATATAAATCAAAGGAAAATTATGAGTAAATGCAAGTCACCATATTGTTTTGTAACATATCAGCAATGGATTCGAGTGTCAGGGAATGCTAGAATAAGTGTTCTCGTTGCTATTTTCACTTATTTCAACTGAATCTTTTTTTGAAAAAATTCTCCATCTGATTCCCAACAAACAAATCCAACAGAATAAAATAGAAAAACTTCATTTTAGCAATTGTATAAAAGAAGAGTTATCTAACGAAAGAAAACACTTTTCTTTTTATTTAAGAAAAAATTTTACATGAGAAGAAAGTTGCTTTTTGAAAGTTCTTAAATATACAAATAAAATAGATCTTCACCAAGTTGAAACATCAATCACGCATTAATACTCCAGTAAAGTTTTAGTCTTTATTTTTATGGGATGCGCGTTCATTTCTCTAGAGAATCAAATGTTGAATATTTTGAAAAAAAAATCAGTTCAAAATCCTCTACGAATAATCAGTCTACTTGAAAGAGCGAATTTCGTCTTTGACTAGAAAAATACGTACATATCTCTACTATATCGGTTTGTGCTAGTTCATCGTTTTCATTATTGGAAAGTTTTTCTTCTCTCGATCATCGCTAACTCTCTCTGTGCTGTTTACTATAAAAGCCTTATGTCTGCTTGACCAAATACCATTATCGATTTTTTTATCGTTGCTTTACAGATAAAACGACTTTTGTCGAAATCAATTTGTATCGCTATTTCATCTTATTCTCAATTCTTGAGAAAATTTGACTCGTACTTTGTATCGGATTTTGTATTC